GAAATACTGACCCGAACCTATTTAGCTTTATGGCTCAGCACCAAATGGGATATAATTTCAAACCTGGAAAATACAAGCTCGCAAGGGATATGATTAATAGCATATCATCCAAATGACATGACTGAATTACTCCGAGATATTTGGTGTCAGAGCTAAATGACAATTCAACTCTCTTCATGAAACGCGTAAAAAATAGAGACGGAACGAAAGAAGAAAGGTTTATGAGTCCGGATGACTTAGATAGGAACTTGTTAAAAACGGTCTCGGAATATATGAAATGCCAGCAGATGAGGTACAAGAAACTCCACAGGAAGAAGTTCAGATACAACCAGACATGAAGAAATAGTTCAGCAACAACAGCTAGAAGAGCCTGAAGGAAACGAACAAGTCCCTCCTTTGGAAACTAACTTCACAGAACTAGATGAAGATTTGGAACAGCCGAAAAATCTTGACCCTCAACAAGAGTATGAGGTGAATATGGAATCTTTCCAAGAGTCTAAGAAAAATTCGGCTGACAGAGTAGAAGAATATCGAAAAATGTTTGCCGACATACAAAAGACTCCAACACCAGATGAAAATATTCAGCATAGAATGGAAGTACTGAAAGAAAATGTACGCAAATACAATAACCCTTTTTACTTACGACCATATAACGTTCAATCTTTGGCTGAACTCGGTGAAAATAAAGGTTAAATTTCAACAAAAAATATAGAAATGAAACATTGTTTAAAGTTCATTCAGAACCTAACCAATATGGAAACAAACCTACTTTTGTTTCTGCAGACTATGGAACTACAATGAGATGGGGTCATAAAGCTAACCCGGATAGGTGGTTCATAAACTTACAACCACAATTCCAAGAAGTTGTAGACGCAATGGAAGTGAATGGTGAACCAGATATAGCTGGTATTTTCAGCGCGGCTTAATGCCATTGAAAGATATGAAACATGCAGATATTTTGGACCAGTATGAAATGAACATGGCTGATGGAAATATAACACCTGACGTTCTAGAACATTTATCTCAAAGAAACTACACAGAACCATAAAAGATGGTATATTGGTGAAGAGTTTAGAAAGAAAGTTAGGATAGAGAAGGAGAGAACCTATTGTACATGACCTTGCAAACGAAAGTTTACAAAATGTCATAAAAACTTACTTGCAGACAAATGAACCGAGAAGGGATGAATATTTAAGAAAACTCAAATGGACAGTACCAAATGAAATGTAGTATTGAAAAACATGTTCCTTGACAAAATAAAACCAACTACAGAAATAAATGACCCAAGACTGAAACATTGGGTAAAAGCTTTCCCATTCACCAAAAGATATAATTGGTAACATGGAAAGAAAACCAGAATGGCTACAAAAACATATATTTGGAAACGAGCTTTATTCCATATGGACAAGCTCTGTTTGAAGAGCTTGAACCGGAAACTCAGGAAAGAGTCATGCAAACAATACGCGAAGACTCAAATACAAACTATGACAAAATCTTTCTAGGATATAGGTTACCTGCAGCATGGCGCGAGCCCAAAGGCAAAAAGGACATGGGAAATTTACAACATACTAGATGAACATGAGGCAAAGATGCAACAACTTGAAGCAGAGGGCAAGTTACCAAAAGCGACACCAAAGAAGAAGAGAAGAGTAGAACAAAGTGAAAGTAGTGAAGAAGTAACTTCATCTAGTAAAGTAGTGGCAATGAAGGAAAAAGAAGAGTTAAAAACTCAGTCAGGAAGAAAGTAAAGCTTGGTCCGAGTGGGTTCTATTATGACACATAAATACAACTATTCTATATTTTTACCCATATGAAATGTACGCCGCTCAGAATATAACGCAACAGTTTTGGATGCCATGAACGGAAATGTTTCCGAATGGTATAACGAATGCGACAATGCCATTAGAAGGTCAGAAATAGTTCCTGGAACTTACGAATATACAACTGCTGTTTCTTATGGAAATGTAGGTGAGTTTGGTGAAGGTTCTTCAACAACAGTAGATATTGCATGCGACAGGTTTCATATTATTTCTATTGACAACTCATTCTTATACGTGGAACAAGACATTGAAATAAAAACCTTCTGCCAAGTTGTCTGACAAGAAAGGTTGCAATGGAATTTTCTATGTCGGATACCAATATGCTCCAGAAGTTTTCATGGGATATAAGATATATTCTAAACTCTGACTTAGTTCAAACAGTAACATGGGCAAACTATGAATGGTTCGCTTTGAGAAACTCAGTACAACCACAAGCTAGAGAACAAACAGACCAGTATGCAACTATTGAGAAAATAAGAAGACTTGACCCTAACGTTCCAGGAGTTTATGTTAACCTTTCTGGTTCAGATGGAACTGCTGCCACTAAAGTAAAACTGAAACTTAGAGTTCCTTTGTCATCTTTCCTCATCTTCAGGTTTTTAAGATACTTGCCAAACTGGGCAGGAAAAATTTCTATCGAACTTACTCCAAGCAAAAATAACTTAGTCATTGCACCAACACAAGACCCATTCACTATTACTGTAGCTGGAACTGGTGGAGCCAAGTTCTGTGACTTTTGCAAAGACAAAGTTGACTTAGACTTTTGGTTTCTCAAACTTCAACACTGAAGTAAACTATTATTTCAATGCTGCTGGAACTGCTTGGGACCCAGTTAAGTTCACATGCGAAAAATTTGAATGCAAGAGAATAGAAAGCAGACTTGCAGTCTATATGTTGGACCCAGATATTTCAAATGCTTTAGCTGCCAAATATATTGCAGTTCCACTTATGTTCCCTATACACCAAATATCTGTCAAAGACTTTGCAGGTGAAGTTGGAAACCAAAGTGCTGACCCAGGTGCAAGAACAGATATTGCTTTAACAACTGCAATGAAACATGCAGATACTATGTTTGTACTGTTCAGACGAACTATAAATGACTATTCTTGTTTCTACAACCCCGGTATTAAATATCATATAAACATAGATGGCAAATATTATCCAAGAGAAGAATATTCTACAGTTGAGGATATGAGGTCATACAACTTGACATTAGATGCTATGAACTTTAACAACAACTTCACAACAACCATTAACCCTGAAATGCAAAGTTCTATTATGCCATATGTGAAAGTATGGACTCATACAGGAGGTCAAAAAACTCAATATACAAATGGAGACCGTTCAAACTTTTGGCTTGGCATTCCATTTGCTGACTCAGAAGACTTTATGGGTGGTATTTCAACTGTTGGTACTGTACAAATACAATATACTGGTGACAGAGACGGTCCAGATGAATTGAAAGCAAAGAAGTTTACAAAACCAATAGCACTTTTCACGGAAGATGCTCTTTTGAAAATTCGTTCGATGAAACCTGCTGGAGCTCCTCAGATTGGCATAACGACAGCTTCCATCGAGCAGATTTTGGCAGCAGGTCAGTAAGTTGTTCTTGAACTGACTTCTCACCATCGTAAATAGTTATGACACCTGTTTTGACATAAAATTGTATTATAAACTTACCTTTAGAAATATCTGTAAGTTTTGTTGTTATATTTTTGTCTGCTTCAAGAACTTTCACCATTTCGGTTATACCAACTTTCTTTGCTTTATGAAAATATTTTGGTTCAGCAAAGACTGCTATTCTATAACATTTTCCATTGTTTGTGTAAAGAACTATTCTGTCAATGTATTTGTATTGTTTGTGTGTGTAAACTTTGTTTTGCTTCAATTCGAAGAGATACTCAAATACGTCCATCTTTTTATTCTAAGTAAAATGTCATTTCCGAAAAATAGAAGCGTAAGTGTTTCAAAAGGTTTAATGGCGGTGGCAGATGTGAAGTTAAATTCACCAACTCAAACAAACAGTCAAAGTGTTATTGTCAATGTCAAAGAAAGAGATGTTGAAGTGGGGAAACCATACGAAGACCAAGATGGTATAACAATAGTTCCTGTAAAAGAACAACCAACATACCCTGAAGTTAGCAGAGACTTAAGTTCTGTTGCAGATATTCGAAACGACTACCAACAACTGAAAGACAAACTTCAAACTCAGGAGAAGATTTGTCAAGCTTTAGGTATAATGTTAAACTTGGTCGAACACAACCCTGTAAAAGTGAACTCATATGTCATTGCACCTCATGAAGTTTTGAAAGAACTATTGAAACTTTTGACAGAGGCAGACGATATAAACATCAAAGAAATAGAACCCGACGTTAGTTGCTGTGGTGTTTCATATAATGTCATTGACAAGATATACGTTATGAAAGGAGGTGAAACGTTGAACTTAAAGTATAGTTTCCCAGACGTCATAAAAATATTTGACGACCACAACATTTCATTAAAATTTATTTGCTAAGTAAAATGGCAGAAGACATAGTGGTTTATACTATTACGACTAAAAACCCTGAGTCATATAATTCTATAACAACAAACTTACAAAGTCCTCAAGGACGATATTGTAAACTAACTTTAAACACAATGACGACTAAAGCCTGTTTTGCTCTTTTGACACCAGAAGATTTTATTGTTGTGAATGGTAAAAAATACTCCTTTGAAGATACTTACTCAGATATACCACCAACAGGTTTTGTTGACTTATTTAATACTTTAAGTACGGGTGTAACATGTGCTGCAACTAGAGCAGGTTTCATTATGTTTGGATGTCCGACTGAGTTTACTATAAACAATATGAGCTATAATACAAAACTTATATCTGGTTTTTACTACCAACAGTTTCCTATAACAGGAAAAGGTGTCATACAAGGAATGTCTGTTCCATTGACTTTAAGTACACCTATTTTATATATTGTTTCAAACTTAGGTTCAAAGTGTTATTCGAATGTCGACAGAAACTACTATGACCAAAAGATACTTATGCGTATAAACAACACTTTCTCTGCTGGTTTGCCTATTGTTCATTCGAATGCAGAGTTTTCAGCTTTAGTAAACTCAAACACTTTAGCAAACATAAACTTAACCTTAGTTGACGCAAACTTTGTTCCTGTAAAACTTTTATGTCCTATGTATTTGTCAATGACGGCAGAAAGTTTCGAATTGGAAGATGCAACTGGTGAAAGTATTGTATTACAAGAACAACTTCAACAACAAATAGCTCAAGAACAACAAATGCAACAAATAGCTCAAGAACAACAAATGCAACAAATAGCTCAAGAATAAAAAAAATATTTTTTTTATTTTTATAAAAATGTACAGAATAGATGTTTCAGATTTTTATGACTTCCAAACATTCAGAAATATGTGTCCATTTCGAGACTATAACAAAGCAGTCGAGAATTTGAAACGTTTAGTCATTTATGTCGACTCTGCCCCAGAATGTTATGTTATGAAAGAATGGGATGTAGTCTTTAACAAACCTAAAGCGACAATAGTTTCAGAACAAGAATGTAAACAGAAACTTAAGAAAATAAAAGTCGTACAAGTTGGCATGAAGATGTTAGATGCTTGGGATATCTTATTGTCAAAGTTAGAAGATTTTTCAGTTCGTGGTATAAAGTTTTATACACCTTCTCCAAACTTCTATTCTATCTTCACTGGATATAAATATGAACAAGTAGAATGGAAAGAAAATATTATAGAAGCTTGGTTAGACCATGTCAAAGAAATTATATGCAATGGAAACGAAAGAGTCTATGAGTATATCTTATGTTGGTTTGCAAACATCTTACAACATCCAAGTGCTAAAAATGAAACTGCTCTCATTATAATTGGAAAACAAGGAACAGGTAAGAACACTTTCTTTACAGATATCTTATGCAAACTGTTAGAGGGCTATTCGAATCCGAATATGACAAACTTAGAAAACATCTGCGGTAAATTTAACTCTTCAATAGAGAATATGAAACTTATAGTATGTAACGAACTTCAAAGTATAGATACAACAAAAGTTTTGAACTCAGATGCTTTGAAGAGTCTTATAACAGACAAAGTTGGAGTTGTTGAAAGAAAATATAAAGACCAAAGAGTTTGTGAAAATGTTGCAAACTTCGTTATGGTTTCAAACAATGCTGTTCCGATGAAGTTAGAAAGTTCTGACAGAAGATATGTAGTTGTCAGAACGTCAGATTCTCATATGCAAGATACAGAATATTTTGACGACTTAGCAGAAACTTTGACATCTGACTTTTACAACCACTTGTTCTCATATTTTATGACATTAGATATTTCAAAGTTCAATCCAAGACAAATTCCACATACCGAAGAGAGACAAACATTGTTAGAAGCAAACAAGAGTGTATATGAACTGTTCATAGATGAAACTGACTTTGTGTCATTAGATGAAAGGTCATTGTACGATTCGTATAAACAATATTGTCAAGAATATGGTTATATGACAGCGTCTAAACGAACATTCTTGGCAAATGTCAAAAGTCTTTTAGACGTACAGAATGGTGTATATACAAAGAAAAATTTTTCTGAGTAAATTTTAAAAAAAAATATTTTTTTATCCGATAGAAAAGATGACGAAATTCATCTCAGTAAACAAGTACATGACAGAAGTCAAAGAAGAACTAGACCCATTCACATATTTGAATGTTTACTTCTACCATTTTGAAAAGTCTTCATTCAGCAAAGTTTGGAACATCGAACCAGTTAAGTTTGCTATTGTGACTAAAAATGGTGCGAAATTTGAAGACTTAGACATAGAAGGTTTGTTAACAGTCAAAGAAAGTTTTGACAGAAGGTTTCAAACCTTAAAGAAGGCAAAGCATACAAACTTGTTATACCTTATGAACCAAAGAAAGCAGACGACTATGAATATTATGAGTCTAAAGTTGTAGAAGTTCAAGGTAAATTGGGTAAAAAGATTTTAGAGTCTAAGCCAGTGTTTGCTCCTAAAGAGGAAGAGAACATTGACATTGACCCAGAAATGTTCTAAAAATAAAATTTTATTTTTACATGTCAAATTTCTTTTTCTCTGGAACTGGTTCAGGTTCTTTCTTCTCTTCTTCTACTTTCTTTTCTTTCTTTTCTCTCTTCTTCTTTTCTGGTGGAGTTATGTCAAACTTCTCAGAACCATATTTTTGTAAAAGTTCTTTGTCCTTTAATAGCTCTTCTATTCTGTTTTCTATTTCATCTTCAAGAACAGCGCATGTGTCTTCTTTGCATTCTAAGAAGTTTTGTTGGACTTCATCTCTCCAAGAGGCGTCATCTCTGTCAACAAGTCTGTCATTGACAAATTTTAAGACTGCTCTGCTTAATGTTTTATGGTTCTTGTCATATTCCCAGAAACAGAACTTTAGAACAAATTCACCTTTCTTGTTTACACTATGTAAGATTTTATGGTCGACAGATGTTTTGCTGTCGAAAAGCTTGTCTCGAATATAGATAGCGAAATCGCTAGACATTTTCTAAAAGATAAAAATTTTAATTTTTCTAAAAATATGTTAGAAAAAAAGTTTGCTGACATTGACAAGAAATTTGAGAATGTTTTAACAAGAACAAGAGGAAGTTAGAAAATGCTCAGATAAAACCCATACATGACAAGTTCTTATTTGCTCAGAATGGTATAACAGGTCTAATTGCACCACCTGGGTCGGGTAAGACTTTCACTTATCTTAAAATGGCTGCACAACAACAAGAACTAGATGAGAAGAACCCATTCTATGAGTTAGTTGTTATTTGTAGTACTTCTGGTCAATTTGACCAAACCGTCAATTCGTTCAAAGATATTATAAAAAAGTCTAAGTTAGTATGTATAAAAACTCTGAGTTGTTAGATTGGATAAAGAAGTACAAAGAAGAGTTTTGAAGTACAATGCTATAAATGAGTATGTCAATTCGAAGTTTAAAGACCCAAATGAGGAAATGCAGAGAATATTAGAGAAGAAACACTTCAGAAACAAACAGAAAGAGATAGAATACATTTCGAAGAAATTGCAATCTTACGATTGGAAGACTTACCCTCATAGATGTCTTCTTATCTTAGATGACTTTGCTTCTCATCCTTTGTTAAAGAATAGAGAACAAGACATGTGTCGAATTCTTAAGAAGCTCAGACACTTTAACATTTCAGTTGTCATTTGTGTACAGACAGCAAAGAGTTTAAGTAAGGATGTAAAGAGAATACTTACTGACATTGTACTTTTCCCCGGATTGTCCGAAGACGATTTCATGGAACTTATGAAAGAGTCCATGGCAGGTAAGTTTGACAGACATGAACTATGGGAGAAGTACAAAGTCATACAAGACCCTCATACTTCTTTCAGAATTCATATCTACGCAAACAAAGTTCAAATTGTAAAAAGTCAAGCGTAAAAAATGTAAGTGTTTGGTCTTAGTCTGTTGTGGTTCTGCAGCTTTCGGTTCTTCTGGCTTTGGAAGACATTCAGGAAGAGGAACGTCAGTCATCCGTTTGTGTCCTGTCGGAAGGAAAATTTTTTCAAGTTGTCGGGAAAATTTTTTCCTGTCGGAAGGAAAAATTTTTTCTGTCGTTCGACCAAAAAGTTCTCAATTTTCGAAAATTTGAATGGTTTACGGACGGACAACAGGAAAATTTTTTCCAGTTGTCGGGAAATTTTTTTCCAGTTGTCGGGAAATTTTTTCCCTGTCGGAAGGAAGGACTCGGAATGTCGGAAGGAAGGACTCGGAATGCCAGAAGGAAGGACTCGGAATGCCAGAAGGATTTGACAAGACAATTGACCTTATAGAGCTACCCGAGCCATCTGAAGTCAAGCTTGAAAAATAAATGGTTCATTTACTCTGCTTGTTTGAAGTTGTCAAAATACTCTGTTATTTTTTCCTTCAGTAGCGGCAAATCTTCTTTGAAGGTAAGTATTGTACAACCTTTAATATCATAGTGTGTTTGAGGTAAAGTATCTTGAACTATTTGTTTCACATCTTCATTTGGGGTCATTGAAATCGGTAAGTTTTCGCGATAGAACCAATTTCTGTCAGATTTGTAAATCTTAGCAAGGTCGTAAAAGCTTTTGTTGTTTCTTCTGACTAAATGCAACATAACCATATCTCTGTCTTCTTCATTTTCCATCTCTTCAGTATAAATCATATACTTATAGTTCTTTTCCTTTCCTTTTGGTACCGAACGTGGTATTCTTTTCTGAAGGCTTTTGTCTTTTGCTTCAAGCTTGTTTTCCATCTCTTCACGTTCTTGTCTATGAATTTCGTCAAGAAGTCTGTAAATATACCAAGCATAACGAGGCGAAGCCCACATTGCAACAGCATTTACAAGAAGTCTATGTACATACCAACCTCTCAAACCATTTGGCAAATTTTTACGATTTTCATGAGTTTTAGGCGACCCCGAAAAAAGTCGGTCTCGCTGTGCTTCGCTCAAAAGTTCTTGTGTGCTTTGGTTTTTGAACCAATCGTCTGTATGTTTGGTATCTGGAGCAAAACATGCTGTCAAAATACTTTGCATTTGGTACATATCGTCTTTGACCGAACGAATGAGACGTAACTGTTTGTTATACTGAACCCACTCGTATTCTTCATTTATAGCTTCATGAACGATAGCAGTTGTTGTGTTCTCTGTTGTTGACATATCTGTCTTTACATACAAAATAAAAAAATATTTTATAAAAAATTAGCGTTATTTCCTGACTTTCACAAAAGACCAAAAATAAACGCTTTACATGTATTTTTCAGCAACTTCGTCAAATAATTTTATAGCTTTACCTATCTCATCTACTTCAAACGTTTCTTTACCTTTCGTGGGAGCACCATACATTTTCTCAAACTTTTCAAGTAGTTCTGTTTCAGCAGCTCTCATATCGTTAACGAACACAACCTTGACTCTATTGACTGTACTGTCATATCTTTGAGTTATATTATATGTTCTTCCTATCTTATATCTCTTTGTATTGAAGTCCTTCGGTTTCTGAACGATGTAAAGTAAGCCTTCACTGCAACGTTCCGTATCGAATGAACCATATGTTATGAAGTTATATCCAACAACTGGGTCTAACCATAACAAAACTATTGGTATAAGACTTTTGTCTATAAGATATGCTGCAGTTCCATAGAATCTTACCGATATCATAAGCTCAGGATTTCTTGTCAAAATTTTCTGAGTTGAAGCAATTCCAACCCAATGGGATGTTTTCTTTCCAGATGGAGATATAATGTCTGACAAAGAATATTTGTTGTATTTCTTTGAGTATCTTACGTTTAAATCACCTATTCTAACCATTTTGGTGTCATTGTCTATCTTTTTAACTGTTTCAAACTCAGTGTTTGACATTTTCTGTCTTTACATACAAAATAAAAAAAATATTTTATAAAAAACTAACTTTATTTTTTCTATCTTGTATAAAAGATATGATTTCAGGGATTTTAGGCGACTGGGTTTTTTTTACTACTCGCAATTTTTCACGATTTTCATGAGTTTTAGGCGAGTAAGATTTTCTATCTTGTATAAAAGATATGATTTCAGGGATTTTTTTGACGAAGTGTCAAAGTTCTCTTCGTAAAAAAATAACAGTTATATAATGAAATTTGGTCATTTTTTTACGATTTCAGGGATTTTTTTTGACGAAGTGTCAAAGTTCTCTTCGTAAAAAAATAACAGTTATATAATGAAATTTGGTCATTTTTTTACGATTTCAGGGATTTTTTTGACGAAGTGTCAAAGTTCTCTTCGTAAAAAAATAACAGTTATATAATGAAATTTGGTCATTTTTTCACTGTTTTCATGAGTTTTAGGCGACTACGTTTTTGTACGTACTCGCAATTTTTTACGATTTTCGTACGGAATCTCTACCCTCGGTTTTCCTCGGGTAGCAAACATATGAGGAAATTCATGAAATTTGGTCATTTTTTTTACGATTTCAGGGATTTTTTTGACGAAGTGTCAAAGTTCTCTTCGTCAAAAAATAACAGTTATATAATGAAATTTGGTCATTTTTTTACGATTTTCGAATGGAATCTCGACCCGCGGTTTTCCTCGGGTCGCAAACATATGAGGAAATTCATGAAATTTGGTCATTTTTTTCGGCAAAAATATATTTTAGGGTAGATGGTTTTTAGGTGTCACCAGGTCCCTCGGTCCCTCGGTCCCTCGGTCAACTAACATCTTTTTGAAAATGGTGACAACATGACATTTTGACAACAGTCCAGGAAATAAACTTCATCGTATATGTTTTGTCATGATTTCATCGAAATGAGCGTAAATCAGACAAAAATATATTTTATGTTAGCATGTTAGATCTAACACGTTTTCTAACCACTTTTCTAACCTCTTTTCTCACCTCTTGAATTTTGTATAAAAGATATGATTTCAGGGATTTTTTTTACGAAGTGTCAAAGTTCTCTTCGTCACTCATAACAGTTATATAATGAAATTTGGTCATTTTTTTCAGCAAAAATATATTTTATGTTAGCATGTTAGATCTAACACGTTTTCTAACCTCTTTTCTAACATAACTATTTACAAGCGTTTTACATGGTATATGTTCCATATGTCATTTTACTCAGAATTTTATACAGAATTCAATAAAAATATATTTTATGTTAGCATGTTAGATCTAACACGTTTTCTAACCTCCTTTCTAACATAACTATTTACAAGCGTTTTACATGGTATATGTTGCGATGGTTCATGACTTTAAACAGTTTTGTAGCTTCTATTTCTTCACGAAGGATATCAAAAGTTTTCACAATATTGAATGTATCTTTATATTTCTTCTTGACGTCAGATAGAAGGAAATCGTCAGCAGTTGGATAGTTTTTGTTCAGAAATTCTAACATGTCCATTTTATCTTCTGCTGGTTTCTCTACTTCTTTCTTTAAGTCAGCATAGTCGTTTCGCATACGTTCTATCTCTTTGACGGAGTAGTTATATTTCCTCATTGCTGCTTTACATTTAGAACATTGTGGGTTCATTTTAGCATTGTACATTGAAATAAAACCAGCTAGAACAACTAAGGCGTCAATGGTTTTCTTTAACTCAAAAGTTGCTGGTTTTATTTGTTCGTTCCATACTTTACCTCTTCTATCTTTATCTCTTATCTGCCATACACATTTTGCAACTAACGAAACAAAGTTGTCGTAGGTCTTAAATTCTTCAGATTTATATATGTCAGAGATGTTCTTATATACCATGTCGCAGTCTTTGTCCATGACTTTGTGGTTGCAATGAAATCCAAGAAACTCATAGTTAACCTTACGTATGAACTTCTTTATTTCTACCGAGTCAGTTGGTTTCACTTCTATTTCATCGAATTCTGGAATTGTAAGCTTTTGTTGTTGTATTTCAGGAAGTTTAGGTAGATGGTCAATAATATCCTGCATTTCATAAAGATATTGTTCATTTGTTTCATCTTTTGCAGTGCAATCTAAATCTCCTTGGAGAAGTTCTTGCTTTATCTTCTGGATTTCTGTTTCGAAAGTATATGAAGAAGGAATGAAGCTTTTCATCTCTACTAACATTGAAGTTGGGTTCATAACTAAAGAGTTTGGTGAAGTTGTTGCTAACATGTTCTTACAATAAAAATAAAAAATATTTTTTTAAAAATACTAACTCACTTTTTCTATCTTAAGGAAACACACAAAACTCATGAATTTCGAGAGTTTTCTACGATGGTAGAAATGAGGTTAGAAATGAGGTTAGAAAACGTGTTAGATCTAACATGCTAACATAAAATATATTTTTATTTTTTCTATCTTAAGGAAACACACAAAACTCATGAATTTTGGTTGAAAAATTAGGTGGAGCCAAAAGTGGCTCGACCTCAAAACAAGCATTTTGTGAAGAATATAGCAACCGGAAGAAAACCGGCGGTTGGTTTTTATACAAAATTCAAGAGGGTGAAAAAAAATGTTAGAAAACGTGTTAGATCTAACATGCTACCCTAAAATATATTTTTGGTTCATTTACACTCGTTACGATGAAGAAGTCTTGACATTTTCCCGACTGTTGTCAAAATGTCATGTTGTCTCATTTTTTCAGAGAAGTTAAATTACCTGGTAGCACATGGTAACATGGTAGCACCTTCAGTAAACATCTCATTTTAACTCACTTTTTTTCTATCTTAAGGAATTTCATGAGTTTTCTACGATGTTAGAAAAAATGTTAGAAAACGTGTTAGATCTAACATGCTACCCTAAAATATATTTTTTGGGCTATGTCCCACCGCTTTGCGTCTTTAGGTCAAAAATAAATTGTTTTCATGAGTTTTCTACGATGTTAGAAAAAATGTTAGAAAACGTGTTAGATCTAACATGCTACCCTAAAATATATTTTTGGTTCATTTACACTCGTTACGATGAAGAAGTCTTGACATTTTCCCGACTGTTGTCAAAATGTCATGTTGTCACCATTTTCAAAAAGATGTTAGTTTACCTGGTAGCACATGGTAACATGGTAGCACCTTCAGTAAACATCTCATTTTAACTAACTTTATTTTTTATTTCGGGAAAATTCATGAGTTTTGGTTGAAAAATACGGTGGAGCCAAAAGTGGCTCGACCTCAAAACAAGCATTTTGTGAAGAATATAGCAACCGGAAGAAAACCGGCGGTTGGTTTTTATACAAAATTCAAGAGGGTGAAAAAACAGGTGAAAAAACAGGTGAAAAAACAGGTGAGAAAAGAGGTGAGATCTAACATGCTAACATAAACTCACTTTTTCAGCACTTTTCCGTAGTTGTATATGAAAGACAATTCGAGATAAAAGTCATAGTACAATGGAATAATATGTTGCACACCATTTGTTGTGAACCAAACTTGAAAGTCAGAGAAACTGTTACTAGGTGGTTCGTAGAATTTAGAAGCAAAGTCATAAAAGTCCTTACCGATACATAGAAAACCATTGTTGCTTGAACTGAAACTTGCATGGCACATAACATTTTGAGGGTCGAACACATTTCTATAAACTGTCAAATCTGCTGGTGGAAGTATAAATTTAAATGGACCATCTGGTGGTAATGGTTCGTTCTGGTTTAGTAACCGAAGAAATTGTGCCCAAGAACGTTTGTCTACTCCCCAAAATAAAAACTCTGTATCTCTTGGAGGGTTAATTTCAATCTTTTGAAATGAAACGGTGGAGTTCATCTTGTCATATTCTAGTTTCAGATAGTATGTTCCATTTAGTAAAGAGTCGTATTTTTCTTGAAATTCCCAATAGTATTTGTTCATTTGAGTTTGAAAGTCATTTAGAGTTTTCTCAAGACTTTCGTCTGAACGAACTGTAAAGATTCTCATTTCATCAAATTTGTCTATAAGACCATCAGAACCTTTATACTGCCCATGAAAATATACTGCGAACATAAACGCGTTAGTTCTATTTGAAAACAAAACTCTTCTAAATCCTATTGCCTTTGCATCTGAAGGACTTTGAAGCCAACGAACTGGATAGTCAAACCTGTATGCTCGGGATGAAATTTCTTCATCTGAAATAGTCCTACCAGCATTTGTAAAGATATAGTCTAACGGTTTTGTATCTGCTACTTTTGTTCTTTGTTTTTCAACCTGAAGCATTTAATATATGTAAAAATATATTGTTTTAAAATGGTATGCCATTTCATATTTCTCATCTAACAAACAAGTTTCTGAACGGGAAGTATCCAGCATGTTGTCTGACTGCTTGAGGGTTAGGTTGGTACCATTCGAACTTGACACTTGCAATTCCTTCAATTGCATTCAAAATGTCTGAGTCGGAGTCAACCATTTGTTCTCTCTTTGTAGTCTTGAAAGCGTCAAGAAGTTGTGCGGCTGTTGTGACATTGCCATGTGCATAGTAAATGTGACCATCCAAATTTGTTATGGTCAATCTGAGATTGTGTCCTTTCTTATTTCCGTCTTGTATGGCAGCAAGTACACCCATGAAGCCTTCTTTGTTCTTTCCTTCGTCAAAGTTTACTGTAAAGGTTCGACCAGAAGTAATTTGACTTCTAACTTCACGGTACTTCTCATATGCATATCTTGTTCTTTCCATGGGAACATGTGCGTCTTCACCTTTTCCTTTTTTCCTTCTCAAAGGATGCAATTGTTCGTCATGTTTCCAGTAGAATCTGGCAAAGCCGTCGTGTCCTTCAACTTGAGGTTCACTAACATCGAAAGGCATGTCCATAAGACGTTCTTCTTCTAACCTCTCTAGTCTGTTTGGATAATTTGCACGTGCTGTTTCCAAATCCATTTCGTAGCGAAGACCAGACAATTTGTCATAGACTTTTATGGGTCTTCCCTTCCTATATTTAAACTTCTTCGAAACTCTCCAACCATATCTTTGCAACTCTGCTTTTATTCTAGCAGACTTTCTGTCCATTCTATATGGGGGCATTTTTATAAAAAGAAAAAAAATATTTTTTTCTTTACTTAACATAACTGCCTGCTGCCATAAGTCTTTGACGCCAACCCATACCAGCTAATGAAGGTTGACTTGGTTTAGTTTGGAAACTAAACTTTGTTTTTGGTTTATCTTCAGTTTTTGGTTTTTCTTCTTCTATCGGTTTTTCGTCACTTTTCGGTTCCTCTGACTTTACTTCACTTGCAGGAACAGTTGTGTCGTCAACATCTTCATAAATATCATATGCCATTTGTTTTTGTTTTCCTTTCAACTTTTTGTGTTTGTTGTAAAGTTTAGAATATTTCGACTCTAAGTCAATGAGATGTTCTATAATGAACTGTTGGTCAGTGAAGTAAACTTTTCCATCTGTTGTCTCGAAAGCTCCTTCAGACTTCAATATTTTATTTGTGAGAGTCTGTTTCTTTTTTGAGATACTAGCCGTTCCATTTTTATGAAAAGTGACTTTGTAGTTAGGGTTTGTATTTCCAGACCTGGCACTTTCTATTATTGAATTTTTCTCTTCATCTGTAAGTTCTTTGACAGGTTTTGACAATGGTTCTGAACTTTTTGTTTGTGGTGTCAAATCTACCGTTTCAACTTCTTCGGTCATTTCATCTCAGTAAAAAATTTTAGTTTGGTTTGTTTTCAACTGGTTGTTGTTGTTTTTTAAGTCGGTCTAAAACTTCCTGAGGTATAGGAAGAACTTGACAAACACGTTGTGTAACTGCTGGAAGTCGACAAATCCATCTTGAACCCATTTGTCTCAATGCTGTATTGTTCATTTCATCTCAGTAAAAACTTTACATTCCCCAAGTTTGAGGCGGTTGAGGTTGGTTATTGTTTACCCACTGTTGTGCATGGTTATATCCTCTGTTAAAGAATCTTTCACCTTGGTCCATATAGTGTCCTGCTTGGTTATAGTAGTCATTTGCTTTGTTATAATAGTTTCCTGCTTGTCTTCCTACATTGTCCATCCATCCTTGAACTTTTCCTCTTGTTTCAGGATTTGGAATAAGATTTGTTGCATCTCGTGCTACATCCCAACCTTTCTGTACAGTTTGTATAATAGGTTGTGCTTTCTCTTTAAGTATACCTAATGTACTCAAAATCTTCCTTCCAACTCCAAATACACCTCTGGCTATTGTTCCCACTGCGGGTAAAAATCTAGATGCGACTCCTGCTAATGCGCCAAATAAACCCATTTCTTATGGGTTAAAAAATGACGAATCCAAACAAGGACCCCTATGTTTCTAAGGCAACAAAAAAAGCACTCATGATAAAAATCTTTAGTTCAACACCAAATGCTTGGTTTATGGATATCTTGGAAAACATTCCGAGAGTTAGAACAGATGGACCACCATACTGGCTAATATTTGTCGGTCAAAACACAAGATACTGTGAAGCCATACCATTATGGTCCAAAAATATTTTAGATGTGAAAACTGCTTTGACAATATTCGTTGACAAATACCATCCAACAAAACTGACATCTGACTGTGAAAGTTCTTTCAAATCAGATGATGTAAAAAACTATCTGCGTTCAAAAAATGTAAACCAATATTTCATTGTCGACCAAAACCATTCTGCTCTTGGTGTCATTGACGGTTGTATAAAAATGTTAAGAGACTTAAACCAACCACAAGGTGGTGAAGCAAATGAAATGTCATATGACGACAAATATAGACACTTCTCCATGGCAAAGATGAGACAAGTTTTAAATATTTACAATAACCGTAAACAAAAAGGTTTGGGAAACCACTCCCCCGAAGAAATGAAAAACAACCCTGACTTAGAGAAAGACTATATATTTAATAATTTAGTCAAAAGAGACAAACAAGAAAGAATGCCGGGCTTCAAACTTCAGAAAGGTGACAAAGTAAAAATAGAAATACCTAAACGCGACCCATATGAAAATACTATTGACTATGACAACAATGGGAACCCGACAGGTACTCACATTCGTGTTCGTAAAAATAGAAGAAAGTATACAAGAGAATATTATGAAGTTTTAGGCAAACATGGCAAAATGTACAGACTGCAAGCAGAAGATAAAACTACTATTGTCAGACCTCGTTTCAAACTTGTCAAAGTTCAAGGTGGTATACTTTCAAAGACAGTTCCTAACAAATATAAGACAACTCCTGACGAATATGCTAAAGAAGTGGAACATGACGACTAAGCAATTCTATACCATGCGTAAACTGTCATGTAAGGTGGCATGTAGTCTTTACTTTGTCCCGTTGTTTGCGTATACCCTGAAACGCGATGTGTATGGTTTCCTCCTCCCTCAGTGTTACTCCAGTAACAATTTATAGCAAACTGAACGTTGTCTTTAACATCATATCCTTTACCTTTTGTCATTGCTGACCAATTCCAATATCTATGACTATGCCAACCTGCTTGAGATGTACTTAAATCTATGTAGTGACTGTGCGCAGGTAAGTTTTCACCTGAAATTGTTTTACTTCCACCTGTTTCCTTTGAAGAGTTTGCACAATACAAAAACCTGTCGACTATTTGAGTCCAAGTTCCAAAACCAAGTACTACTTCTGGTCTGGTAGAGTTCATTGACGTATAAATAGAGCCTATAGGATATAATGTTTGAAGTATTTCCGTCTTTAATGTTTGAAGCTCTGTTTTGTCTGCTTTCTTCTCATATAAATCTTGAGCAGTGAATTTAACGTTTTTTTCATCCTCCATGACATAAACATTTCTACATCTAATGTATTTCGTCGTTGTTATGTTTTCTTCCGATGTTAAACCTTGTGGAAAGTTAGGAGGTTTCCAATATAATACATCCCCATCAGTTTCTTCAACCGTTCCTGCAATATTTTCTATAGCAACAGTTGTAAAACTTGTATGTGTATGTCCAACGTCACTTTTCCTGTTTAAGGTTTCTTGTAAGTTTGTAATATTTGCAATGGTATGTGTATGTCCAACGGCACTTTTCCTGTTTAAGGTTTCTTGTAAGTTTGTAATATTTGCAATGTATGTGTATGTCCAACGGCACTTTTCCTGTTTAAGGTTTCTTGTAAGTTTGTAATATTTGCAATGGTATGTATATGAGTCTTTTTAGAATATTCGTTTTCAGCTCTTGTCACTTCACTTGACATTTTATTGTCAACATATGTTTTTGTCTGCTATGTTCAGGATGAGTATGTTCTTTTGTTGCATATGTTGCATCTGCTCTGTCATGTTCTTCTTGAACTTTTCTCAATGACATATTCTTTGTCAGCTTTGTTGTCAACATCTGCTTTCAAAAGAAGTTCAGATATAGGTTTCTCGTTTAAAGTTCCTTTTGTTGGATTTATACAGACAGTATGGTTCTTCTTGTCTTGAAATAGAAACTCATCTGTCATTGGGTTTAATGTCAGTTTTAAGTTTCCTTCTTTCAATGACTCAGATATCTTAGAATAGTTTGAAAAGTTTGTTGTGTTCTTATTTAGAGCTTGTATAATGAGTTGTCGGTTGTGTTGTATTTCTCTCATAGACGCTGTTTCATTTGACATTTTTATTCTAGATAAAATATGCTTTCAATAGAAAAAGAAAATTCTAGAGTTGCTACAACTAAACCATTAGATGAACTTTTTACTAATGTCGGTCAAAAGTTTGAGACAGAGACCGTAAAGCATGAAGGCTATCGTTTTGACTACCCGTTAAGATGGTTAAGAGACCCATCTGTCACAAAAGCTATTGGCTTTCGTAGAATGAAGTTCATTTCAGAAGCCATACATGGTTTCCCATTTACAGTCGGTTTTGAAGTTCGATACTATAACAAAGAAAACGTATGTATGAGAAATTTGAACAGGGAAAACTTTTACAAGTTAGTTTGCTTGTAAACTTAGAAACAACTCTTCAAGCTTTTCAAGAAAAAATAAACGATATCTATATCGAATATGCAAACCAGTATAACATTGACGAGGGAGTACCATCTCGATATTATATATGACAGGAAAAATGCAACTGTTAAAATCAATAGAATAGAAGACCTTGGAGAAAACGTTTTATTTCTACAAAATATAACAACTTGGCATGGTATAGATTTCTGAGGATGTTAAATCAGCCTGCAGCATATCCAGTACACCCGGACTTTTATGAAGTCGAAAACCCTAATGGAACATATGAAAATGTTTTCGACTCAGATGCTATTATCGTTCATGCTTCATTTTCTGGTGCGCAAAACTCTTTTTTATGCTTGGCAAATGACTTTTACGAAAAACCTACAAAGCTATATGAACCACCAAGTGGAAGTATTTCAGACTTTCAAGTATGGTTTACAACAGATGGAAGAAAGAGAATAATTCCATTATACCATGCGTTTTACTTAGAACTTAGTTTCATATACAACTACTATCGAACGGTAAAAATATAATTTTTTAATACGGTTGAGGTGTTGGATTTGGTTGCCAACTTGACTGTGGTGCAGGTTCAGGCTGTTGTATAACAGGAGCTTGTTCTTCTGGTTCAGGGTCTTTAGGTATAATACCAACGAACTGACCTACTCTTTTACCAATATTTTTGACTCCGTTCCAAATTCCTCTTCCGACAGATTTTTTCCATTCCATATACCTCTTCCAACATTTCGAAAGAAGTTTCCTATCTTACTGAAGAAACCCATTTTACTATATGTAAAAATCTAATGTCCACCTAGTCTCTTACGTTTCCTTCTGAGTTCCATAGCATTCTTTAACTGGAGCTCATACATTCTGTTTCTCCTCTGGTAGAAAACATATTCTGGGTCAACTCCTGTGTTCGCGTCAATCTGCATAAAGTTGTTTATATCCCACTTCAGGGTTTGTATAAAACTCTTTCCATCTCATATTTGCATACCATGGTGGCAAACCTAACGCAGCCGTCATTTGACATGGCAGTTTGCATTTGTACATCTGTTGGCACTTGACCATAGTTTGCCATTGCAGTTTGTATTCTACTTCATTTGGAATATTCTCTGGGTTTGGTTGTCCAGGTTGCTGTGCATTCGCTAAGTTCTGTGCGTCCATTTAATATTAGATAAAAATATCTCTTACGAGTACATATACTGGACATTTGCAGGCATTGTTCATCTTCATATTCTCTGTACTTTTCTGCCACGTCAAAAAATAAATGACACAATGGAAAAAACCTAAAACAAGTAGTCCTATTTCAAACCACATTTACTTACTAGTAAAATTTCTTTGTTATGACACTTTCTCCGGTTTATAGGACCTCTCTCATATTCTATCTTGTCATATCTAAACTCATAGTCATGTATGTCCTCTAACCATCTCATAACGGTTTCCAAACCACTTTTATCGGATGTAAAGTAAAAGCATGGATGGTTATGTAAAACGTCTAAAGTTTCTAAAGAGTCTCTCAAAGTCCAGTCTACTTGGTATTGAAAATCCCATGTGTTATAGAACGGCGGGTCCACTATAAAGAAAACATTTTCCTTGTCTTTATATTTTTCATACAACTCTGTCCAATGACATCTCACAAACTCTATACCCTCAATATATTTTTCTATGTCCTCTTTGAAAACATTTGTATAGTTTAAGATATAAAACTTTTGACATAAGTGTTTCAATGTCATGAACTCTTATAGAACCACTATATAATAGTCTAGCAGATATACTATCCCAGTCTATATATTCTGCTTTTTTCAAAACCTCTCTCACAATATTTTTCTTATCTAATGGTATACGTTCCATCTTACCTATAGGTATCTTTTCTTTTAACTCTTTCAATATTTTGTTTGTGTCTGGTATATGTTTGAGACGGTCCATATAGTTGTCGAAGTCATTGCATATAATCTTTGAGTCTGGGAATATTGTATGGCACAAATGGGATATATAGAAACTTCCACCGAACAAATCTACAAATGTTAGACCATTCGGTAGTGTTGTAAACAGAAATTCATCAAAAGTGACACCTCAGAAAAGCTAAAATATTGAATTTTTGGAACTTTTGATAGAGCACGTTTTTAAATATTAATTAAAGTAAATGTATATTTTGTAAAGATTCTTTTTAATAAAAAAATAAAATTTTGAAGAAGAACACAAAATCTTCTGAAAAATAATATCACATAAACTCATATTATTTTCTAATATATAACTATTTTATATAAAATCAAATTCAATGATCTTAAAAGCGAAGGATAAACCTCAAAATTTACGAATATAATGAGTGGGAATATAATGCTTATCTATCATAAAACCATATGAAATATCAATTTTTGCTTTACGCCTATTCCCACTCATTATATTCGTAAATTTTGAGGTTTATCATTCGCTTTTAAGATCATTGAATTTGATTTTTATATAAAATAGTTATATATTAGAAAATAATATGAGTTTATGTGATATTATTTTTCAGAAGATTTCATTCTATATGCCTATGAAAAGTACTCTCAAAACTAACTTTTCCTAATTATAATTAAATCTAGAATATTGTATTATGCTTAGTATTATTTCATTTTTCTCATTCAATTTAGAATTTACAAATGTCAAAAAATTGAGAGCTGTCACTTTTGATGAATTTCTGTTTATTACAGTAGTTTCTTAAGTTCTCTCAATATAATATCTTTACATCTACTCTTATTTCCAAAGAACGGTAACGGGGGTTTTGTAAAATTCATTTATATATAATAATAAAAATGTTTTTACCTGAAAAGTGACAGAAAAGGCTTCTCAAAGTATACTTCCTTGGAACGCCTGTAACTTTTCCTGTAGCGACGATAGACCCTTACTTGTCCGGACAAAGTTATACTATTTTGAGTGCTCTACCAAAAATTTTTTATGGGCTAGAGGGCGCAACGCGCCTGGAAGCCCCCAGTACCCAAAAAACTTCATTTATACTAAACATCTTCAGGGCTAGAGGGCACGAAGTGCCTGGAGGCCCCACTACCTTTTTTTTTGTTAAGTGGATCATCCAGATCAAGTTTTTTGTCGCATTCAATTTGAGCCATTTTCGGATCACCCCCTGTTTTATAAAATTAATAAGTACTCGACGCTAGCATTGTGATAATGTGTGGTATTTCTTTGTCTCATCTTTGATTTGATTGTGATTATGTGTTCCATTATTGTTGTAAACAGAAATTCATCAAAAGTAACACCTCAGAAAAGCTAAAATATTGAATTTTTGGAACTTTTGATAGAGCACGTTTTTAAATATTAATTAAAGTAAATATATATTTTGTAAAGATTCTTTTTAATAAAAAAAATAAAATTTTGAAGAAGAACACAAAATCTTCTGAAAAATAATATCACATAAACTCATATTATTTTCTAATATATAACTATTTTATATAAAAATCAAATTCAATGATCTTAAAAGCGAAGGATAAACCTCAAAATTTACGAATATAATGAGTGGGAATATAATGCTTATCTATCATAAAACCATATGAAATATCAATTTTTGCTTTACGCCTAATTTTTGACGACAATTAGCAAAAAATGTTAAATGTTAACACTCAGTCCATTTGAATATGAAAAATAAAATTGACTTTGATTAAATGTTTTTATTTATCATGCAATTCTTCTTGCGACCAAAGATTTGAATAAAAGTTCAAAAAATAAGATAGCTTAAAAAATAATATACGGTAGTGTTTACTAATAGATGAATAGTATATAAATTCTATTAAAATGGATTTGATCCAAAAAAATATAAAACCAAAAATAATTGTTATAATTTAAATGAAGAAGTAATTTAAAACGATTTTATTTATGATCAAATTTTATATATTTTTTTGGATCAAATCCATTTTAATAGAATTTATATACTATTCATCTATTAGTAAACACTACCGTATATTATTTTTTAAGCTATCTTATTTTTTGAACTTTTATTCAAATCTTTGGTCGCAAGAAGAATTGCATGATAAATAAAAACATTTAATCAAAGTCAATTTTATTTTTCATATTCAAATGGACTGAGTGTTAACATTTAACATTTTTTGCTAATTGTCGTCAAAAATTAGGCGTAAAGCAAAAATTGATATTTCATATGGTTTTATGATAGATAAGCATTATATTCCCACTCATTATATTCGTAAATTTTGAGGTTTATCCTTCGCTTTTAAGATCATTGAATTTGATTTTTATATAAAATAGTTATATATTAGAAAATAATATGAGTTTATGTGATATTATTTTTCAGAAGATTTCATTCTATATGCCTATGAAAAGTACTCTCAAAACTAACTTTTTCCTAATTATAATTAAATCTAGAATATTGTATTATGCTTAGTATTATTTCATTTTTCTCATTCAATTTAGAATTTACAAATGTCAAAAAATTGAGAGCTGTCACTTTTGATGAATTTCTGTTTATTACATTATATTCTGTTAGGATATATTCTTCATCATCCTTTAGAAATGAGATACATGCTTCACATTTATCTGCACTGCACCTGAATTTTAATTTTGTTTCCCCTAAATTTGGATTTTTTTTTAATTGATATGGACAACCTGCATGGCATTCGTTATCAATGACAGCTTTCATAGCATCTATATAAGATAGCCTTTCTTTAAGTTCGCATGGTGCATCGATATGCATCAAAAAAATGAAATGAAATTTCAATATCAAAAAAAGCACAAAATTTGAAAAAATTCACAAATCTCGGTTTCTGAAAGAAAATGGCCTCTTAAACTTTGTGCATATATTCATCTATAAGACACATTGTATCCATATATTATTTAGCCAACACAACTTATCTGGTATCGAGAAAATTCAAAAAAAGCACAAAATTTGAAAATTGCTCGGTTCTACATTCAAAATAAATTTCATTAATTTTTACGTACATATTAAGGTACTTATCTTCTACATATATAATCTTCATTAGATATATACATGATAAATAAAATTCATAAAACATTAAAAATCAAAAAATTAGATGAACCTTGGCAATTAAACTTTATTAAATAATAGCTGTTTATAAATTATATTATATTATCATTTAATATTATTTTGATAATGAAGATTTTATTTTGCAATAATATAAACAGTAGTATATATGATGGGTTGTGTGACTTTTTTTGTAAACGTAAGAATTCATACAATATCGAGCGATTTTGTATCATTTTTTTTAACATATGAAGTAAAAAATGTATGATTCTTACGGTTTTTATTCTTACGTTTTTGAATAAATCAAGATTTAAAAAATTTTCAAAATTGTAAGACATTTACACTCAGCCCAAACATAATGAAATAAATCATTAAAAAATTGACATTAATTTTAAAAGAAGCTATATATAGATGATGTCAGCTATTCCGCGATTAATTAAACATTGTTTAAATCCTGAATGGAATCAATGGAGTCATAATCAAAGACCTCATAAACGAGAGAGTAAAAAATAAACTTTAAAAATTCATGTCTTACATTTTTGAATAAACTTTCACCAATTCTCACCCAGGTTTAATATTAATGATTAAAACTTCAGAAAAAATTAAACGAAAGACTATCAAAAGATAGAGTTGAAAGGTAATGGTAATGATGAAGAAACTAATGATTATTTGAATTTATGAAATCAATTATTTGATTCATTCTTTCTTCAATCTCTTCTATTCTTTTTGTTAAATCATCAATTTTCATTAATGAGATGATTCTTGATTGAGGAATAGATTTCAAACTAACCACCCCCTTTATTTTTGAATTTTTGAATCCATCAACTTTAAACATTTTATTCAATTTACATGTTGTCAATTCTTCAAATAATTTTTTATTATTAGCATAATAGTCATTAAATTCTTCAACAGATGAAAAAATTTTTATTTCAGTAATTGGTTTAACAACGTTTATTTTTTGTTGAACATTTTCACTTTCATTTATTTTTAAAATCGGTTTCATTTATCATTAAATAAAAATTAGAATATAAGTGATGAAATATATTTTTTTAATTAATATTAAATCAGAAATGGCGGCAGGATTCTTTAAAAAATTATGGGATGGAATTAAGAAAGCTGCGGGTTGGGTTCATAAAAAGATTATTAAACCCATTGCAAACTTTTTGGCACCAGTAGCGAAAACGGCAGGAACTATCATAGGTGGAGTATTAGGTACTAAAGCAGGTAATCCGGCGATGGGAGCACAAGCAGGTAACGCAATTGGTGGAATGCTGAAGGAATACTTAATAAAATAGGAGGTAGATAGTGGAAAAATAAATAAATATTATTTTTATCTTAGTATCGGTTGTAGTCTTTGATAAACTTTTTCTCCTTTATTTAAAACTTCTCTTATTGGGGCAGCTTTTGGTGTTATTGATTCAGCAACGTCACTAATTGCTTCTTTATTCTTAAATATCCAATTTGCTCCCTTCTTCAATGTTTCCCAAACTTTACTCGCTCCTCTTTTTACTTTATCCCACAGTTTCTTAAATATACCTGCAGCCATAGTTGATTATTTCATTAAAATTAAAAATTCATTTTCATCTTTTAATTTTGATTTTTTATTTATTAATAAATGACGACTAACTATTTGGTGCCAAACACTAAACCGATTAATGGAAATGTGTTTCATTCATTCGAAAAGATAAATGAAATATTCGCAAAGAATGACGGTAGAAGATATTATAGAGAACTTGAAAGTTCATGCTATGACTCTGATGCTCCATATTTTGATGATAAACAAACTCATTTAAGAATTACAAATCCAGCTCATGATGTGAACCAATTAGGTGACACATATATTAAACGCAAAGTTAAAGCAACTCTAGTTTCAAATAAAGCTTTCACATGTGATGCCGCTTTTAAATGCATGCGTTTATTCGTTGGTTACAAATCATCAAATCAAAGCTTTAAACAATTAGAAGTAGAAACCGAAAGAGGTGATGCCGGTTATCTTCAGATGGATTGCGCCCGTGAATCTTTCGCATTTGCAACATATAAACCAAAATCAGAAAGGAAAGTTAAAAAGTTTGTTCATTCGTTATATAATAATGTTCAAAAATATGATAACTCAGTATGTGGTAAATATATTGACCCTTCAGAAGTTTTCAAGAAAGCAAATGAAGAAGTTGATGTCACTTTTGATATGATTATTCCGGTAAATGATTTGTTAGCATTTCAGGCGTTCGATGATTATCCTAAATCATTTGGTGATATCATTCTTAAATATTATGTTTTCAGGGATACTTTAGTATTTTGTCAGGTTGACCCGTTAAGAGTTGCTGATTTACAAAATTACGTTTATGAAAAGATAACTGATGAAAATTATGAAAAGATTATGAATCATGTTTATAAATATGATCGCAAATTCCAACAAATCGGACTTCCTACCAAATTAATTACAAGCTTAGCCGCTACATCTGCTGAGGCAACAGTTGATGACGTTATTATTTCATGCACAAAGATGGAAGTTTTAGAGGATAAATGCATTACACCAGGATACGGTTTAATTGAAGAATCAGTTAAAGCAATACCACGTTTATTTAGTAAGGAAGATCCATTCATGATTCCAGCTCAACATATTGACGTTCGTTCACTAAATGGAGGTTGCATCACTCCTGAAGGTATTAGCTCAGATTTCTCATACGCTCTTCATAATGTTACAGATGTTGTGTTAACATTTCCGAAGAATGCAATGCAAAGAACGGTTTTAGAAAATCCAATGCTTCGAGGTCTTCAGGTCACTATAGATTCCAGAAACTTCCCCGATCAAGCGATGACCACAGTGGGCGACATATTCTTTACACGTATGCTTCAAGCTTCTGATTTAGATGGAGTGAATGAATGCACAGAAGAATACGAGGACTCATTAACTAGACCACTGAATGCAGATGATGGCACGCCATTAGCTAGAACATGGAAAGACCAAACTTCATTCTTATGCACTATTCCAGTTCAACGTGATGGAGCGGGTATATTCTTTGATGGATTAGAAACTTTCAACTCACAAGTTACAGTACAAGTGAAAGCTTATCCAATCATTCAGGGTGAAAATGACACTTACTGTTCAAAGGTGACAAATCCTCCTCAGGTTTGGTTTACTAGGACTACATATTGGACATGGACACCGGATGAAGGTTTGAAATATCATCCAACAGGTACACCACCACAGTATAGAAGTTCATATGATGAAATATTGATGAATAGAAATGTTTAAAATTATAAATTTATTTTTGATTAAATGGATTTAAATTCATCCACCCCTTATGAAGAATTAGCGGGAGTATATAATACATACGTAGATGATATGATTAATGAAGCATTGAGTGATAATAGAAATGCTCTATCTAAGGAAAAATTAATGAAAATTCCATATTCTGAATGTTACTTAAATTCAATCACTGCAGCAATTGGTAAACAGAATAAAGGTAAAACATTAACGATATTAAAACAAATTATCATTATTGCTAACACTTCCCCCTATTCACATGTGTTAATTTATATCAACCGTTCAGGTTCACCTTCAGATGATACATTTGAATCTTTAAAGCATTTAATCAAAATTCCAATTATTTATTTATCACAAGAAGAAGCAGAAGATTATTTAAAAAACTTTTTAATGTATAAAGAATTATATAATACAATCAAGAAGCAAGGATTAGAGGATAAAATTATTGATAAACAACGGGATGAATTATTTGAAACACTTTCTATTTCAAATTTTGATAGAGAATTTTTGCATTCACTCATTTTTCTAGATGATGCAGTGAAATCAAAACTAATAACAAATGAGAAATCATATTTTAATCAGTTATTAACTCAATGTCGACACATTCAGTGTTCATTCTTTATGGCTGTTCAATATTTCAAAGCATTAAGCACAAACATTAAATCAAATCTATCAACACTTTTCATTTTCAGTGGGTTTAGTCGTCAACAGTTGAACGTTATGCTTTATCAAGTGAATTTACCAATGAGCATTAATGAACTTTACACACAATATCAGCAATTAGGTGAACATGGAAAAATAATAGTTGATTTAAATAAAGGAAGTGTTAAATTTGATTAACTTTTTATAATTAATTTTTATTTTTTATTTATAATTAAACATGACAGAAATGGCAAATCTTCTACAGGTTCCATTAAAACAAGGAACAAACAAAAAGGGTGCATATAATAGAACTATGAAAGTTCCTGATGGAATGAAAGAATTAGTTCATATTGTTGCTGGTCTTCAAAAAGATGTTAAACAAATGAGAAACGTTTTAACATTACCAGAAGCTCAAGCATATGCCAAACGTCAAGGTCCAAATTGGGAAGCACACGAAGCAGACATTACGGGTCCAAATGGAAAACCTGATGGTATAAATGAAGTTTTCGTTACTGATGGTCAAGGTAATATTAAAGTCATAAATGGTTACAAATTAACTATAACTGATTATCCTAAACGTAAAGCATATAATGAACGTTATCCTATGCAATTTGATGAAAATGGAAAAGCTGTTAAACAATACATTGGAGAAGGTGAAAATGGTCCAATTAATTCATACCGTTATAATCCATATTCTTATTTCAATGAAGAATTAAATGCTATTGAAGAGGGACCGGATGGATTACCACGATATTCTAACCAGTTTGATGGTCAATATGCAAATATTAGACCTGAAATTTCAGCTAAGAAATTCTTTAAAGTTGCTTTATTCGATCCAGTTTTCGCAAATGTTAAAGATGAACTTAAACATCAATTCCAACCAATTATAGTAGCAAGAATTGCATCAGGTGCTTTATCTCAAGCATTCAAAGATTTAATTAAGAAACCATTATATCAGCAACGAGGTTTAACTTATGATTTAGTTAAGGAATTAGATAAAAGAAAATTTGAGAAATCAGATGATTATAAGAATGCAATTAATGAATATATTAGGTCTATTAATTACAATGAACCAGCTAAAAATCAACTTCAAGAACAAATACAGGGAATAATAGATTCAAAACTTCCAGCAAAATAAAAGTTTAAATATATTTTTTTATTCGAATATAAATGAGAAGACGTTTCACTAGTCAAAAGAACACTAACGCAAAAGCAGAGATTACGGTTGGTTATAACGTAAATGATGATAAATCACGAATTATTCAAAATGTTAAAGTTAATGTTAGCCCTGAATTAACAAGGTCAGCAACTCAACCAAATTTATTAACTCGTGACTTACCGAAAAAGGAGGAGGAGCAAAATAAAGAAGATGGAGACCCAATCATTTTATCTGAACCCGGTAAAGAACCTGTTGAAATTCCCACTTATCCAACATACCCCCACCTCTTTCATCAAACATCGAGAACCCATATAAAATAGACATTAATTCTGAATTAATGAAAATTTACCGTGATATAATAATTAATAATTATGATTCAATAATAAATTTAATTGACCAATCGGTTTAATTATTTTACCTTATGAATCATTAATTCACATTATCGCCATTCTTTGTGATGTTCAAGATTCAGACGTTAAGATTCAATTTTTCATAGATGATGAGGTTTCATGCTGCGGAACAGTTGCAAAAATAAATCCTATAAAGGATATTAGCACAATTAAGATATCAAAGAACGGAACAACAACTGAACTTCATTTAACATATAATGATATTTATAATAAAATAGTTGATGAATATAAAATATCACTTGAAAAATTCTTTGTTAAGGCTATTTAATATTCAAGCATTAACATTATCGAATAATAATCCTTTGAATCATAATCAATAATAATTGACCTTTCACCAGTTTCTATCGTTTGTTTTATTTCTTTTTGTTCCCCACTATCCGGATCGGTCATTGTAATTGTTTTTGTTATAGTATCAGCTTTATCTTTAACTTCAATCTTTTTTCCATCGGGATATTTAAACCAAAATTCCAAAAATTCGATATTGTCAATCTGTTCATATTTTAATCTATCAATTACATTTTTAATACCATCTGAAAATCTTTGAAATGGTCATTATATGGGTTTGATTGAACTAAATTTGAATGAAGTGAAATATAACCTGTTGATGAATATGACACTGACTCATATTTTCTGAAAACACTAAAATTTATAACATGAATGAATTTCTTATTCGTTGAATTTATGAATTCTTGAGGTAATCTTATTCTAGTTTTATTTATCACTGGAAAATAACGCTTTACCATATTTTTAATCGTAATAAAAATGTCAATTATCAATATTATTTCGAATAATAGCTGTGAATTAAATTTAACAGTTAGCGGAATTTATAATGTTACTCTCGTTTCTGTGAGTGGTAAATTTAATCCCATTCTTTTAGACCCTTCAGATTATATATCATTTATTAAAGATGACCTTGAAAAAACGTATGATATGTATATAAATAATGTGATAGCGAAATGGGATATTAACATGATTTTAAGTTATTTAAATGAATCATTTATCGTATGGTATGAAGAAAATTTTAAATCAAAACCCGATAAACTTTTTGAACTTGATGAAATAAATAACCTTATTAAATTCCCGCTGAAAATTAAATTTTGTACTCCTCATCTTCGTTCATTGTTGGGGATATTAAATTTTGAAAAAGATGTTGGGGATGTTTTGTATTCTGACACTGGTTCCAATTTCATTTTAATCAAATGTGATAAAGTTAATACCCCAATGAGATTTTCACATCAAACATTAGACCCTAACTCTTACCCATCAATACAAAACATTTTATCCATCAACTTAAACACATTTTCTTTATCATATCCGTTTCAATTATCCGGAATTCATTTATTCTTCATTCAAAAGATTTATCAAATATTAAATTTAGAATAACTGACCTATTTGATTGTGATTTAGAATTTATGAATGAAATATTATGGCAATTTCAAATAGAGAAAATAGCTGATGAGATAACGGATTAAATATTTATTTTTAAATCATAATAAATGATTAAACAACAGCAACTTAAGGCGCAAAGCGCCCAGGTCCTTCAGACCATTACATACGCCATATATGCATATAATTCAAAGACGGCAGAACAAACGCAAAGGTTGAAATATGGAGATTTGGAGATAGTATTGAAAAATGACCATTTCGAATTCGTTTGCAAAGGTGGTGCAGTGATATCAAATATAAAAGAAATTTTATTTATGAATTCAAAAATTAAAGGAATAACGGATGATATAACATCAATTCCACCAGAAGAACAGAGATATTACGCATTAAATGCATTTCCTAAAGTTTTGAAGATTGGAAGATTTAATTTAAATGAGGAATTCATAGAAGGTTTCCTAAACGACATAATGAAGAAGGTGGATAAGGAATATGTGGATAGTGAATTAAATAAGAAGGCAAATTTGGTTTATGTTGATGAAAAAGATAATGAAATTAAAGAAAAGGTTGAATGGTATCATGAATGGACATCGGAGACTTTTAAAGTTAAAGCTGATACAGGATGGGTTTCAGGATGTTTAGACCTTAAAGCAGATAAAACTTATGTTGATGAAAAAGATAATGAAATTAAAGAAAAGGTTGAATGGTATCATGAATGGACATCGGAGACTTTTAAAGTTAAAGCTGATACAGGATGGGTTTCAGGATGTTTAGACCTTAAAGCAGATAAAACTTATGTTGATGAAAAAGATAATGAAATTAAAGAAAAGGTTGAATGGTATCATGAATGGACATCGGAGACTTTTAAAGTTAAAGCTGATACAGGATGGGTTTCAGGATGTTTAGACCTTAAAGCAGATAAAACTTATGTTGATGAAAAAGATAATGAAATTAAAGAAAAGGTTGAATGGTATCATGAATGGACATCGGAGACTTTTAAAGTTAAAGCTGATACAGGATGGGTTTCAGGATGTTTAGACCTTAAAGCAGATAAAACTTATGTTGATGAAAATTATGCAAAGAAGTCGGAAGTAAATGATGTGATTACAAGCATGAAAAATGAAATACTTCAAACATTATATCCTGTTGGCTCTATTTATACGTCAATGAACTCAACAAATCCCGCAACAGTTCTGGGTTTTGGTACGTGGAAGCAGATTGTAGACAAATTCTTATACTGTGCTAGATATTCAAAGCAAACAGGAGGTTCGAAGAAAATTAAAGAAGCAAACTTACCCCCACACACTCATACAGGAACTACAAACTTTTCTGGCGACCATAGCCACTCATTAAGAGACCACCCATTATACAACTCAGAATATAAAGCTGGCAATGATGTTTTATCTCCATCTTATAACAATGGGACAACATGACATTTGGACAACAGTCCTGGAAATATATTTTATCGTTAATGTTTACGTTAATGGTTTCAGGTTATTCAATAATTAATTATTTTTGAAGAACTGAGGGTGTCACTACGTCACCATGTGTCACTCGGTTAATTAACTTCTCTGAAAAAATGGGACAACATGACATTTGGACAACAGTCCTGGAAATATATTTTATCGTTAATGTTTACGTTAATGGTTTCAGGTTATTCAATAATTAATTATTTTTGAAGAACTGAGGGTGTCACTACGTCACCATGTGTCACTCGGTTAATTAACTTCTCTGAAAAAATGGGACAACATGACATTTGGACAACAGTCCTGGAAATATGATGCAGTCCAAAAATAAAGTTAGTTTTAAAATTGTTTTTATTTTTTTATTCCTATCTAAATGACAGCAACAAACAACAACAGTAACTTTATCGTTTCTGATGAAAAAGTTATTGATTCATTAGCTGAGGAATTAGTTGTGGCAGAAACTAAAACCCTCAACGAAAGAATTGGTGAAAACAAGATTGATTTACATAACTACCTCAAACACGATGGAGGAAGAGGAAGGAAAACTGGTATGGCTTTATTAGTAAATAAAATTTCAAATTTAACGATTATAGATGTTGATATCAATAAATCGTACAATGATGAACTTAAAGAAACAGTTAGAAAAGATATTTTATCAAAACTTTCAGATAAAGATGTTATCGTTAAAACTGCTTCAGGAGGTCTTCACATTTATTGCAACACTAATTTCTTCTATGCAGTTTCGAACAGAATGATTAAGGATGGGCACTCATTAGGGTGATGAAAAAAATCAAGTCTAGCAAAGTCAATATATTAAAAACAGTGAAGACTATTATATAGCATTATAGTGCACAAGCTCAAATATTTAGTGATGCATTTCTCGAACTTATTTTATTTATAAGTTAACCTTGAAACATGAATTTTAGTATATCATGAGCATATTTTTTTCTAATTTTGCAATACTTATAATATCATACCAGGATTCATGTGGAAGTCTAATATTTGGTATATAATATTCTTACAATAAATGTATTAATTCAATTATATTCAAAATGATGGGTAGCAATTTTTACTGAAATTGCAAATTTAATTTCAACAATGAAATTATTGTTTAAAAAAAATAGCACAACAGCAAGATGGACAATCATATATAGAATTATAATGCTCCATATAATGCTTTGATTTGATGCGTATATAATGTTATTTTTCGAACATCTTTGTAAAAAATTGATTTTTGTAATTTTTGAAAAAATTCGATTTTATTTCGAGATTTCCTCTATAGGTGAAGTATATTGAACAATATTCCTATGGGAGAAAATAATTGTAAGTATGAGTACTTTCATTAATACTATGGGTGCCATGGTTATCGCTCAAACGATCAAGTTATATCTCGATTGCGTAAATTGAAATTTTGCTATTTTCTAAATTCACGGCAACATCATTCTTTTATCCTGATCGTACATCACAATATTTGAATGTGCGACCATTTGTTCAAGAAACCGTCAAGTTATTCTTCATTTTTCATGCCGCGGCGAACAAAAGCAGTTGCAAAGCGTATAAAGAACTTAGTTCAAAGCGCGAAAAATAGGGTAGAGCCATATGTCGTCAACACTGTTGAATTTGTGCTATCTGTATTATTGAGCGGCGCTACATTTTGCCAATCAGAATTTCAATTCATGCTGAATAACATCAAAGTTCCGTCAGAAGCTACATTTCATCGAGTCCAAGAAAAGGTTGGTCGTGTTATCATAGAAGTTGCCAGAGAATCTGTTAATTATTGGAAATCTCGAATGAGAAAATGTTCGGGACTTTTGTTTGACGGTTCTTGGAGTCAGAGAAGAAATGCAATGTTTTGCTATGTACAATTTGTAGAAGAGAAACTCAAAAAAATTGTAGATTGGGAAGTGATATCTAAATCTTTTAAAAATTTCAAAGGTAATTTCAACGGAAAATCAAATGAAATGGAATTTGAAGGCTTAAAAAGAATGCTGAAGCGTTGGAATAATGAAAAACGTGTAAATTTTTTTGTGCATGATGGCGATGTCAAAATTGTTTCTACAATCAAAAATACGTTCAAAGGTATCAGAGAATACAGAGATCCTGGACATTTTCTTAACAATATACAGAAAAAGCTCAAACTGCCAGAATTCAGAATCTTATCTAGCATTTCAAAGAATTTATTGCGTTGGCTTAGGCAACTTCTCAATGACACACATATGTCAATTAAAACAAAGAAGTTTTTATGGTTGAATTCCGCTAAACATTATGCCGGAAATCATAAATTTTGTCCAGATCCTGAAAAATGCAAGATGATTAAACCATGGAAATATGCAAAAAATAAAACTGCTATAAAAACACTTAAAAAATTCCTCGAAGATACCGTAAAAATCTTTGATATGGTAAAAAAGATTCATTCAACTCAAGTAGTTGAATCGATAAACCATATCAAAGCAATGCTTGCTAATAAAAATATTAATTGGCATGCTTCTTGGCCAATTAGGATGGCAGTCACAATATTGCATTTCAATGAAAGTATGTTTGAAACGATTGTAGCAATAAGATACAGGTTAAATTTACCAACAATGCCAGAAATGATGAACAAATATTTCAGAATGTATGATACAACAAAAGATTTAATCAAAGCATTCAAAAATTCAAAGCAAGTTCAAAAAAAGTTTGCGGCATTAAGAGCTATAAAGAGAGGTCTTCAAGCTACCGATGATGGTATTACTCTTAAATCACATAAATAATTATTAAATTTATTTCACCCTCAAAACATCATAATCTTGCACCTTCTTTGAATAAACACTTTCACCTTCTATTTTTAATTAATGTTTTTTAATTGTCCAAAATTTTTAGATTATATAAGATATAATTTTTTATAAAAGTATTATTTTCTAAAAGATAAGTATATATTCTTAATCACAAAACCTAGCATTTTATCATATCTATATATCAGCTTCCTAAATATAATACTCATATAGTTAGTATGATTTTAATGTTTTTGAACATGAAACGAAAATATGATTACAATCATATAACATAATGGAGTTATTGATATAACTTATATGGATGATACATTAAGAAGTCTTCCAACAATATAGATATAGTTGTAGATTCCTATGATTCCTTTTATATTGTGAGATAATAACATTTTTATGCTGTCAGGAGCCTATGAGTGCCCATCCTTAAATGTTATTCCTGCAATGATTTTGATATCGATATCATGACTTCTATTGATGATTCAAAGCGTTCTTTAGTAGTTATGGCTGATTCAAGAGTTCGCGGGAATGCAAGAGAACCAATCAAAACATACTCATTCATTCGCGGAAGTTATGATTCAACATTAACTAGAACCGTAAACGATATATTAAATGATTTGAATATTAAGGTAAGAGTTGAACAGAAGAACGAAGAAATAAAGACTATCATGAATGAAAACAAAAATGTAAACATTGACGATAAACTTGCCCAGAGCATAGTTGATGGTATTAGTGATTTTGAAGTACATAATGACGGTGGAAATATGAATTTAGAAAAAGAAGTTACATTATTCACACTGTTTCAAGCAATTAATTCGTTACCTAATCATTTAATTAATGAAGCATACGATAACGTTTATAACTTCTGCAGCTTAACTGAACATGCAAAAAGTAATTTTGAAAAAGCACGTAGTATATATGCACATTTAATGACTTCTCCATTTGTTTTAGTGAAGATTCTAAAACTTTATCAAAAGGAATATTATGATGAATATGTTTTACCTTTATTACGTAAGCCAAAAATAACATTTGATATAAAACTCGATGACTCGTTTTTGATAACAGATATTAGACGCAAGGCTGAAAATCATCAGTATAAAAACAGTTCTGAAGTAATTGAGGATTGATCACGTGTAATCCGTTTTGTAGATTATGGAAACAAATACTTCATTCAGAAAGATTACAACATACACGACAAAATGAATCAAATATCATTCGTTCTTCAATCAAACATGAAAGAGTCACTCAAAATGATTAAATTATTTAAAGAAGAAGGTAAAACAATAACAGCATGGGATGTACTACTAAATCAATTGTCTTCATTAACCGTTAAGGGTGTTTGCTTTAAATCTGATTCTCCAGATGTTTTCTCAACGTTTCAAGGTTATAAATACAACGTTCTCGAAAAACCAGATTACTCAAAAATTGAGATGTTTATGAATTTCATTAAAGAAGCCATATGTGATAATAACGATGAAGTGTATAAATACCTTCTCGGCTGGATTGCATCAATGATTCAACATCCTGGAATCAAGAATGAAACAGCAATTATTTTGAAAGGACTTCAGGGAACAGGTAAAAACAGATTTACAGACATTATTTCTGAACTTCTCGCTGGTTATTCATGTAAAAACATTACCGAAATAAGTGAGCTAACGGGTAATTTCAATTCAGTAGTTGAGAATAAAATGTTTCTTGTACTTAATGAACTCAAGAATGTAGATGAAGATAGACTCGCAAACTTCAACGCTTTGAAATCAATTATTACGGATAATGAGATTAGAATTAATGAAAAGAATCAACCCAGAAGAACTGCTCAGAATGTTGCAAACTTCATTTTCGTAACTAATAACGTCTACCCTGTCAAAATTGAAGTTGGAGACAGAAGATACGTAGTTTTAAGAGTTAATGGTAAATTCAAGGGTCAATTTGATTACTTCAAGAATTTAATGGATTCATGCACTAAGGAATTTTATGATAACCTTTTAACATATTTTATCAATTACGACCTTTCATCATTTAATGTACGAATCATACCGATGACTGAAGCCAAACAAGATTTAATTGAATTATCAACAAATCCTTTAGATGTATGGATAAATACACATTATGATGAATTGAGTGTAGGTATGACGTGTGAAAATGCTCTATTCTGCAAACCATCAGACATGAAAGACAAAAACTTTCAAATGAGCATTAAAGATAAATGTGATAAGAAACAGAGAAGAATAGATGGTAAACAAACATGGTGTTATGTTTTGAAAGAAGAAATGAAAGGATTATATAAACAGGTTGAACCAAACGATAATGAGGATTCATTTACTGACGATGAAATACCTGTAAATGAAGCTTTATAAAGTATGATTTGAATTTATTTTTGCATTAATCCTGCTGTGTTGTCCAAATGTCATGTTGTCCCATTTTTTCAGAGAAGTTAATTAACCGAGTGACACATGGTGACGTAGTGACACCTTCAGTTATTCAAAAATGCTTCATAAGTGCCTTCCTCATTAATCCTGCTGTGTTGTCCAAATGTCATGTTGTCCCATTTTTTCAGAGAAGTTAATTAACCGAGTGACACATGGTGACGTAGTGACACCTTCAGTTATTCAAAAATGCTTCATAAGTGCCTTCCTCATTAATCCTGCTGTGTTGTCCAAATGTCATGTTGTCCCATTTTTTCAGAGAAGTTAATTAACCGAGTGACACATGGTGACGTAGTGACACCCTCAGTTCTTCAAAAATAATTAATTATTGAATAACCTGAAACCATTAACGATAAAATAACTGATAACAAAATTTTATATAAATGGATACCCCACAAGCTCAAAATGTACCACAAATCATAACAAGGGAGGAAATGATAAAAATGATGCAAGAACGAATTAAAAACAACAAACCACGAAAACCGAGAAGATGCGGTTATGCAGTAATGATGGAAAGAAGATGAGGAATAAAAATTAAATTTGGATTGAGTTTAAAAATTCATCTTTATTAAATTCATCTCTTCCAATCAATTTATTTATTCTATTAAATTCTTTTATTTTTGCTTCACTCAGTTTAAGGATTGAACGGTAAGTTTCTAATTTTTCGATTATTTCTTTCCTCTCTTTATCGTTTTCAGCCCCACCGCATTGCGGCTTCTTTTTGTAATAGCATATTTTTGATTTAATTTTGTTTAGTTTCTTTTTATATTCATTGTCTGGACTCTTGGCTGCTTTGTTGTCACTCATTTCTTACGAAATAAAAAAAATTAAATATTATTTAAATATAATGGAGTAATAAAATAAATTGGAATTTCTATTAATTTATTGTCAACTTCAACTAATGCATTGCCGTTAATATATCTAACAAATTCAGCTATTGTGTCAAATCTTCTTCTTCTTTTTGTCATTGATTTATCAGTTTTTCCATAATCGAGATGAATCAAAACTTTATCCCCTTGTTTAAAATTCATGAGCCCGAATTAATTTGTTCACGTTTAACATCATTCAACCTTTCCATTTGCTTTCTAATATATTCCCTTCTTTTGAAATATCATTTTTCATTTCCACTGGTTTCATGTTTATAGTTCTATGCCATGTATTATTGTAATAATATACTAACTGTTGTATGATGGAGTCATGATTTCCATCCCAGTATATCTGACCGTTAACCCCTAACGCATCTCTAAGAGTTCTCATTACCGCATCAACTATTTTATTATGAAACGTATATGGAGAGAATGAAAAGAAAAAATTAATTTGTGGGAAATAATGAGCCATAGCTGCCTGAAATCCTTTATCACCATCACCCCTGATATTATCTACTCTTTCATGATCTAGTAAGTATTGTATAGCTCTTCTTGTTTCCTCGTTTGTGAATCCTAATTTTTTAACGTTGTTAGTTTTGACACTCATTTCATACAAAATAAAAAAATAAATTATTCAAAAATGTAAGACATGAATTTTTAAAGTTTATTTTTTACTCTCTCGTTTATGAGGTCTTTGATTATGACTCCATTGATTCCATTCAGGATTTAAACAATGTTTAATTAATCGCGGAATATCTGACATCATCTATATATAGCTTCTTTTAAAATTAATGTTAATTTTTTAATGATTTATTTCATTATGTTTGGGCTGAGTGTAAATGTCTTACAATTTTGAAAATTTTTTAAATCTTGATTTATTCAAAAACGTAAGAATAAAAACCGTAAGAATCATACATTTTTTACTTCATATGTTAAAAAAAATGATACAAAATCGCTCGATATTGTATGAATTCTTACGTTTACAAAAAAAGTCACACAACCCATCATATATACTACTATAAACGAAATTTTTTACCTTATGAACTTTTGATGGAAATATGCAAATTTAAAATAATAAAGAAAGCCGCGAGCGAAGCGATCGGCTTAGTTCGAAGATTTTGATTCAAATCTTTGCTAATCTGTAATTCGCGGAAGCCGCGAGCGAATCGAGCGGCTTAGGTCTAAGATTTTGATTCAAATCTTTGCTTATATTCCTTAAATTCTTTATGAAACTCGCAACAGTTCCATAAAAATTTTAAATTCTAAACTGTCGAAATTACCGATCGGTAATCACACCCTTCACAGGTGTGTCACTTTTTACAAATGTGTCACTTTTAGCTAAAATTACCCCTACTCCTATCACTTCACAATTACTTTTGATCAATTTACTAAAAATAGGGTTAATCACAAGTTTTCAGTTTTTGAGTGCAAGAAAATCTTTTTTGAGATTTTTTTTTTCGAAAAAAAATATATCAATGCAAACTTTGTATCAGGAGAGTACGCCTTGGATTTCGACTAAGGCTACTCATCTGCAAAACAAACGCAAATACACAATCGAAATAGTTTTACATGGAAAATCCTTTAGAGATTCATATCTCGTAATAAAAGAAGAGAATCAGATAGGATTTTGCTTCATTCCTATATGCCCAAATGTCGAAGTAGGGTTTATGAACGACACTCTTACATTAAATTTTCACGATTACAGTAAAATTAAGTGCGCATTTGAATTTCAAAATTCTACCGATCTTGAATTAATCGTTTCACACTTTATGCGATGTTCTATTATGGAAAATAGCACGCCGGACGAGTTTTCTGCCGAAAATAATATGTTTTTAAAGACTCTCGCTATGGAAATCGTTCCACAGTCGTCTTTGGATCTTGGAACTACTCTTTTGACTCCAATACCAACAAATGCTATTGCAAAATCAACATGGGAAGAGAATTGCATGAAGATAAATACACAATTTTATTTAGCAGCCCAAGAAATCAGATTTTCATTCCTTACATGGAACGTCGCCGGAAAGAAACCGAAAGAAGAAGTACTGGCTGATATAATGAGGTGTTTTAAAGTTCCAACGGCCGTTTCAGATATAATAGTCATTGCATTTCAAGAAATCGATATGTCAGTTAAATCCGTTGTTACAGGTAGCAGCAATGTTTCGGATCGCTGGACTGATGTTGTAACTGCTGCTCAGCAACAATTCGCTCAATCTCAGTTTGAGTTGCTCGCAAATGAATCTTGTGGTAGCGTTTACATTGCTTTACTTGCTCGTAAGAATATGACACCAAAACCAGTCGTTAGTCCCGTACAAATTATTAAATTAGGTGCTGGTGGCATTTTCGCTAACAAATCAGCCCTTTACATACCATTCCGTATCGGAGAAGGCAAATTTGCCGCTGTTGCTTGCCATCTTGCCGCTCACGATGGTGCTTATGAAGAACGTAACGAACAATGGCGTCTAATTGTTAGAACCATTGGTGACGATGTTGACTATTTGCCAATGCAAGGCGATTTGAACTACCGTATTGCACTTCCACGTGATGAAGTCGTTGAACTTGCTAATAATGGCAAAATTCAACCGCTTCTTGAAGCGGATCAGCTTAAAAACCAACAGAAGAAATGCCCAATTATGAATAGCTTCAAGGAAGCTGAAATTAAATTCAGACCAACCTATAAATTTGATAAGAATTCAGATGTCTACGATACATCACCGAAAAGACGTACTCCTTCCTACACAGACAGAGTTCTTATTAGATGTTCTCCACCCCGTTTCAACATTGGCCTCTTAGATGAACTTCAATTTGAAACTGATATCTTTTTGAACCTTATGGAGAAGAACTCGCTTGTTAAATCAGATATATTCCTTCCTCCATCCAAGGATCAGAAGTTTAATTACCCATCACCGCCAACAAACATTTGTTATCGATCTCTTCGCTGTATGTTCTCAGATCACAGGCCAGTACACGCAGCATATAAATGTGTTGTCCATGTAGTTAACAAGGCAAGGAAGGAACAGCTCCAAGAGATCATAAATTGCAAATACAACGAATTAAGTTTGTATTGCGTACCAAAAGTTCAATTAATACCAGATGAACTGGCATATAATGACCAGAAGGAAGTGGAGATCACAATGAAGAACACTTCATACGTCTGGGTTAATTGGTCAGTGAAAAAAATGCCTCCAGGAGTTCATATCGAGCCAGCTGCTGGCAGAATCTTCGCATGCCAGGAACAGAAGATCAGACTGACTTTCTCCGAACAGGCACTGCTCATGGAGCCTTTGTCTTTCGACATTTCCTCGCAAAGACCTGTTTATTTCAAATTCAAATCAAAAATGGATTAATTTTTGGTTTTTAAATGTTTTTGTTCATTGTACATAAACAACTATATCTTTATATGTATTTTCAAATCGTTTTTTCATGAGATATTTAAAATAATTTTTATTTGCTTCAAACACTATGAAATTTCAGCTAATTATATCATCTATCATGTGAAGTTCAATCCAATTCGAACCATTCTAAAACATATATCAAAAATCAAATAATTTGTTTGATGTTTTTGGAATAAAATATATTTTTTCCTCTTTAAATTTGTTGTACTAGTTAATGTATGCCACACTATCAGTTTATGAAAAGGAACAGGAGCATAAATGAATTTATTCATGTTATATGGAGTCATATTTAGAATTTTGTAGCTGGTTGTGTGGATTTGGGAACATACATTAACACAAAGTATTTAAAAGCTCTTTTAAGTAATATTTAGCTTTTGAAAATAAAAATATCAATTTTGATAAAACTTCTATTTAAAATAATAACAAATCTATATGAACAACAACTAGAAAATAAGCAAATATTAGTATTTCTACTCTAATTTGTATTTTCCATTTTCATAATCTGTCAAAAATGACTCAAGTTCTTCAATAGAGTGAGTAGTCTTAAGGTAATCTCCAACTGGCTTATTAACGCGAACAATTTCATCAAAGAAGTTGAAGATATGTCTTCTAGCGATGAAAAAGTTTGGATCAGGGTATTCTTTCCATAATTGGAGGTATTCTCTGGAAATAGCAACTGGGTCATGCTCTGGTGTATCTGAAAAAGCTTTCGGATTCATTAATAATCCCTGACCAACCATAACTCCTGCTGCATGTGATTCTTTGAACATTTCAATGGCTTCCTCTTTTGTACGTACACCACCATTTGCCATCACAGGAATCGAAACAGACTCCGCAATTTTACGAATTGCTTCTGCATCGACTGGGCCTGCTTTATTGCTATTTTTAGCACGTCCATGAACGGATATTAATGATACTCCTGCGTCTTCTAACTCTTTCGCAAATTTACATGTAATATCAACGTCGGGTTTTCCATCTTCGCCATCAATAAGGCGGAACTTGATGGAAAGAGGTACATTTATTGATGCTACAATGTTTTTGACCATTTCAATAACGTTTTTCCTTTTGTTTTCGTTGTTTACCATAAAGTAGCCATATTGGCCGCGTCTTGCAATATGTTGAGTGCATCCACAGTTGATATCAATTCCAACCGCGAACTGTTGTAAGTCTTTAGCGCATGCTATAAGCTCAGATTCATCATTTCCTGACATTTGAATGATAAGAGGCCTGTCTTGTGAACAAGTTTGAAAATAGCTGTTCCTACTTGATGGTTGGATTGCCCACATATGAGAATTAACCATTCCAGTCCAGCACAATTTCACGTTGTATTTTCTTACAAGCATTCTAAATGCTAAATCATTAACTTCGAACTGGGGTGCAAGCACTATTGGAACCTCACCTAGTCCATTGATGATTTCGCGCAATGGATTGGAAGACATTTCTCCGTCTAAGTTTTTCCCTCAAAAATAGTCAGTAAATTTAGAATCAAAATTAAACAATAAAGTCGATTATTATTCAAAAACACAAATCTGAGTTCTAATATTCACAAATTCCTTTAAGAATTTCATAAATAAAGATCTCATTCCAATTCCTTCAACCATTTCTGAAACAATGTCAATTGTTGACAGAATATTTGAAACCACCACAGGTCCTAATAACTGAAATGTTTGGAATGGACTAAATAACAAAATAATTTAGATACAAAACAACAAAAAACATCTATTAATACCTACGTGGGGGAAAAGTCAATGAAAGGTTAATATCACTAGGTGAATTTGTCTGTCCTTTTGAGTGATTCAATATTTGTTGAGCAAATCCATTATTGATATCAACCATTGGCCTTGCCTTACGAAGAAGATTCATACCTTCATCATAAGACACACCTCTATATTCTAATAAATAAGCTAAGCAAAGAGCAGCTGATCTAGAAATGCCTTTTCGGCAATGAACTAAAATTTTACCACCATTTGCAATAGCTTCATCTGTAAATTTAACTGCATCCCAAAATTCATCATCAAAAACTTCAAACACCGAGTCAGTTAAGTGAACTGAGCAATATTTGAAATGATCAGGGAAATTAATGGGAGATGCACCTGCGTTAACATTAACAATGTGTGTTATACCAGTTTTGAGTAAGAGTGGAAGATCTGATGCAACTTTTTCACCAGATATGTATAAACCATCCACAATTTTATCACAAGAATCTTTATAAATCCTCTCTTCCGACTTAGGAGATGACAAGGGACCAGGATTTGTAAAAGCACTATTTTCAAAACTAATAGTCAGACTATTTCCTCGTGAAGGTAAAGCAAGACTGTCGTTCTTTCGCGGGGAAGATACTGGACGCTTAATAGCATCATTTATTGAAGCTGGCAGTGCTGACTCAATAAAAATACTTTCCGGCATAATATCAGCATTTGTTGTGAAGAATTCGAATTTTGTATTTTTAATAAGCTGCATAAGCTGAGAACGGTCTTTAGATGTAATATTTGTTGGACTTAAAATCCAGATTTTGAAGTCAGAAATCATTGAAGGTGTTATTTTGTAAATTTGATTGACAACTCTTATTACTTCCTTATAAGATACCTTCGGATGAGGAAATTCTTCCTTTTTATACGTTTTCTGGGCTTGTGGCTCAATTAAAATGACTGATGATTCAGAATAATTTCTTGGATTTCGGAAAAATTTCGAAGCAGGAAGAGGTTCGAGTTTTCCATTACAAATTGCCATTAACATCATTGATTTAGGAGAATCAGGGAATTCAGAGACAGAGATACTGTTGCTAAAACCCTGTCCCATTTTTATAAACGTTTTAAAATCAATTTTGATAAGATTCAAAATTTAGTATTGTTTTTATAATTAAAGTATTTATAAATCAGAGTAACATTCAAAAGGTTAAAATTCAACGATTATTATCAATTCAATTAATTAAGAGAGCGACAAGTCTCATCACACTTTTCAATGCTCGATTTTTAAAAACTGTTTAAAAATGGAGCTTATATTGAAATAGTGTAGAGACTAAAAATTACCACAAACTATTTCAGAGGATTGAGTTGCCACTCAATCCTCTGAAAAGTCTGAGGTAATTTGCAAAATTTTGGAAATGAAATAAAAATCTCACGGTCTTGTAAATCCTAAACTTGTAAAGCACATTGATTAAACGTTCCATAAAAATACTAAATTTGGAATTTAGAAGTCCAAATTTTGATTCAAATGAGAATTTGCCAAAAATCTTTATGATTAGTTTAAATAATAAATGACTAGGTCATATATAAAAGATTTACATTATAAAAAACAATCATATTCTATGTCTCGAAATGTAATAACTATTTAAGATATATAGACAGGATTTATCATTGACACTGCATATAATCGCACCAAATGTCAAGTAATTGGATTCACAAACACAATAATTGAAAAAGATATTAATCTAACTCATTTCCCAGCGAAAATAACAGCTATGCTTTTGAATTGATCAGACACATATAATTTAAAGATTAATTTTTAAAAAGAAACTTTAGAATGATGATAACTAAGTAAAAGAAATTGTCATGTTGGAAATATTATATATAACATTGCGAGGAGATAATGAATTAGTTGATTTCGATAACAAATGTTTTGGCTGCATATAATATTATCGAAAAGATAGTATAGAGGAACTTCAATAGATTTAACTTTTGCAAACAATCTAACTCTTGGAACAGCTCCATTAAATCCTGGAATTCCATCTGTGTAAAAATTATCTATCAAACTTAGATTACAATACATTCCAATTGCAAACCACCATTCAGGTTTTTGTGGTTGTCCATCTAGAAGTGAATGTTTAAGAGGATTTTTAACAAGTCCTCCAAATTTCCAAGTTGTATCAGGTTCATTAAATTCTGCTTGGATTTCAATTGGATGATAGAAAGAGGCATTCTTGGATGCAGTACGATCTGTATCTAAGTATGGTGGAAGCAGTTGTGACCAAACGTTGAACTTGTTTTGGTTGGGGTATTCAAGAATGAAGTGACGATATCCATCATCACTAACAAATTTACTTTCGCTGAGATGCGAAAGGATGGAATACTTACCTGAAACGTTGACTTCGAGAGCTTCACTTTCGTTAGTAAAACATGGACTAGTATGATTATGTTCGAAAACACGTAAATAATATTCATCTTTGTATTTTGCTGCAACAATCTCTCTGTTGTAGTATACTTTGAGACCTATTTACGATATACCTACAGTCACTTTTTTGAGGAATTCTGTAAAAGGTTGATATTACTATGAATATGTAAGATATGATGATTTCAAACACCATTGACTAATATTTATAAAGTTCATGTGTCATAGATGATTGTTTATGTGAATCTATTGCTTCTTAGATCAATGAATATCTATATCTGTTTTACTCGAAATTTCATGAGAATCTACTCCTCCTGGAAGACCATCTGAATGTATGCTGATGCATTCATTGCGTTGTAATCTATCATATGATTTAAATCCCGAAAATTAATATGTAACTCACTTAATTTTTTCATGATTCATCCAGAATGATAAACTTCAGAATAGTACAACTTTGCGTCAGAATAACAGAGCACAAGAAGAAAATAAAAATTGTCCTGATTTGGACTTAATACATTCGATGAGTTCTTGTAAAAAAAGAAGTTTTGATTAAGGGTGCACTTTCACCCCAATGATATGGCCTTCAGTTCAGATGTTTAAGGCTAGTTTTCAATGACGCTTCACGCCAGTTATCAAAAATTTGAATTAAAGTCAGATGGGCGTAAGTGCAGCCTTAAAATTTAATAGCTTATAACATGAAATGTATATTTTTACTGATTTTGAAGGATATTTAGTGGCAATTGCTGGAGAAGTATATCATTCACTGATATCTCAAAACAGCAATTATACTTCTTGATTCGAGAAACATATCTCTTCTGGCTTGACAGTTAAAATCGGCACATCAAACTTTACGAAATGAGTGATAATACAAGACCATTCATTTCCAATCTAGAACTTAATTGTTTTCTATCTAATCATAGCATTAAACCTAGCAACTTTGGATCTCGATGACTTGAAATCTTCAATAATAATCTTTGATAATGCTTCATCAGATTTGATTTCTTTTTTGAGTATATTCTTCATAGTCATCATTGATTCAGCAGTAACTTCGTATTCATCAGTATCTCTTTTATCCATAAGAAGTATCTTTGTGAAAACTTTCAAAATTTGCAACAAACAATTCTTTGGTAAATCATTTCTCTGAGATATAGTTATCATATAACTTAACAACTCATTAAATGTATCTTTATCATCGAACGGCATCATCTTTGAGAAAATATTAAAAGCATTTTCAACAGTATTTGTCCATTTCGTGTCATTATCAGCACAAACACTTAAAATAAACCTTGAAACAGTTGGCATTGCTTGAATTAATAATTCGATTTCTTCATCTTTTTCTGATTGACAAATAACCATTGCTGATTCAACAAAAATCTTGAAATATCGTTCAGCAGGTTTCAAAATACCATTAAATGCCTTTGAAAGACAAAAAAGTGATTCGGCAAATACGAAAATTTCAGTAGCATCAGTTGGAAAAATTTTCTGAATTAATCTATCCATAGAAACAACAATTTTTGCTGCATTATTTCTATCAACAATAGCTGAATTGATACAAGCATTTACAATAGGAAACATTAAAGCAGCTGACGAAATCTTGACAGTTTCTAACAAATTAATAATCAAAGAACAAATTTCTCTGATTTTTGGTGATTTATGAGATAATTTCTCAATAAATGTCTGAACAAACATGAAATAACACGAATCAGGAGGTATTTGTTCTGTCGGAGGCTTTCCTTCTAATGCTTTTACATCTCCTGAAAGAATTCGAATTATAATTTTTTCAATTAAACCAATATCAATGCCAAACTTAGTCATTAGCTTTCTAAGAGTATGCAATATCATGTTTGTACCTTTATTCTCATCCATTTCATCAAGTCTTTGATAAATATTATTAAAAATTTCTTTTGCGGCTTCTTGAGATATAATTTGTCTTAAAAAAATTATACAGTTGCATGCTGCAAATAAAGCTGAATGATTTTCATTATTAATTAAATTAAAACAAATTTTCAAAATTTTTGACTTTAAATCGTTTTTTCCAAATCCTTCTGATATAACAGTACATATATCAGATAATAGAGCGCATTGGTCATCAATATCAGTAATCTTTCCATTTTCAAGAGAATCAACAAATTCAGGTAATGAAAAATCAATTGCTGCTGAAGATTCCGACTTCTCAAGTCTAGAAACAGTTACTAAGAATGAACTTAATAAATAATATGATTCATATAATTTATTTTGTATCATATTTTGAATAATTTTCAAAATTTGCTGAAAAATTGGTTCAACAAACGTGAAATCAATTTCAGATATATTTGAAAGCAAATCAATACAAAATCCTCTTAATAAAGGAGATTTATTTTCATCGACCATTATTTCTGTACAAAATGTTGTAATTTGAGATACAACTTCCATATTATAGTTACATTCATCCTCTTGTACAGGTGTGTCTTCATCATAAGTTGGATTTGAATAAAAAGATAAAATTTGGAAAAAATATTTCAGAGAAAGTTTTGAAGTGTATTTGTCAACTAAAAGAAGAATGGAGTCAACAGTTGTTTCATTGATGAAATCATATTTGATCAGCATCAAAAAGGTTTGAAATGCTAATTTAGTAATTGTTTCGTCTTCGTATGCTAAAAATTCATCCAAAGTCTCAATGAAATATGGTGTTTGGGATGAATATTCACCATCTTCGCATAAAAATGGAATATAATATTTCAAAAACAGAACTGCCGAGGATTTTTCAATTAAACTGTCTGAAAAGAAGTCATCCATTGTATTTGTAAATATTTCTCGTTGATTTGGAAAGTAGACAAACATATCTTCGCAAATTGGACCGAAACATGATAAAGAAGCAAGAGAATTGCCATTAGTAATGTTATCAATGAAAGTTTTCATTATTACTTCACGAGATTCACTTGCTAAATCTTTTACAATTAAGTCTTCGTAAAAAGAAATGAAATCTAATGGTAATTTGTTGGATTTTTCAACAAGTAATGTGAAAAATTGTAAAGATTGGACTATTATTTCGACTATTAACTCACGTGGTAAGAATGGAATTAAAATAATTAGAGTCGAAAATGCTTTTTTTCTTTGTTCTATGTCTATCGATTGATTAAATGCAATATTAATGAAACCGTCTAATGACTTTGATCTATATTGACGGAATTCTGGGCATTTATCAGCATATTCGGCAAAAACGTTGAAATATATTCCTAAAGCTCTGCTTTTATCATTTGAAATAGTATTTATTAAAGCTTCCCATATACTTTCATTATCGATACCATCAAGAGGTTTTGGAGGATCACCAGCAACAAATTCTGCTATACGGCCAATGATTTCCATACCTAAAATCTAGATTTTAGTTTACATTTTGTAAACAATCTTCTTCATAACACAACAATTGTATGATTTCAGACTTATTCAACTAAAACGATTTAAATGCATACTGATTAGCCAGTTAAGTAACTGAAAAGTAACACAATATACCTAAAACAACAAAAATTATATCTGAATTATTGGCCGATGAATATTATAAACAATAAAACTCATAACCGCACTTTATGTGCAGACATTATCATCTTGAGCTAGAAAATTCCAATCATTATTTTTGATTGTATTTTTGAGTTGAAAAACATTACTCTAAATCAGGAAAGTAGTTTATTAAGCATTTTTAAATGCAATAATATAATACAAAACAAAAATAAAAATAATGATAATAATTCATGGATAATTATGATTTCGGAAGAATATTATTGATGAATCATCTTGTGGTTAGTGATTATCAATTAACGAGGAACTTTTTCTCTAAGGTCCTCTTGCTGTAGTGGATCTTTTAAGTCGTTTGTGTAGAAAATAGGTGGAATAAGAGATTCAGTACTCTTATATAATAGTGGCTCTTGATTTTCCATTCGGCTTTTACGTTTCTCTTTGCACCTGCAACAAACTAATACGATTACAAGAATGAGAAGAAGGACAAATATAGCTGACATAATGTAAAGAACAAGATCTATAGTGCTAATCGATAACTTTGAGGTCAAAATGGCTTCCAACCCCATTTGGTTTCGAATTTGTCACTTTTATTCATTGAATTACCTTATTTCATTGTTTTTTAAAAATATTTTTACATTTTGACTCCTGATTAATGAATGTTTTTTGAACGGAAAAGTGACAAGACAATGAAAATTGATAATTCCAAAAACAATTCGCAAAATATGAGACTAATCCGCTCGTTGAACGTAATAATTTAATTTTTATATGAAAACTAATCAATCTTGCTATTTAGATATTACCAAATAGCAAAAATACACTTTTTGATTGTGTCAGAATTTTTTAACTGCATAGATAACTTACTTGGATATGAAAATCCATTTGTATTCCATATGGGCTCATTAATATTACATGAAACTCTGATCATCGGTCGTTTCAAATTTCAACGACATTATTGATACAATAGCAATTTTAAGGAGAACATTATTTTAATAAGCATCACCTTTGTATTGATTATTGCATGTCCAAAGTTGATTTTCTATTAAATTTCAAATCTAACCTATTGGCCATGGTGAAATCAACATATAGGAGATAGAACATCAATACTGACAACCGATAGTTTGCATATGAACATGCTATCAAGGCTAAAATTGCAAATGTGAACTGTCATTATTATTTCTTTTACATGACACGCCGCGATTCAATCAGTTTCAAGAGCTCATCTACGCTTAAATCATTTATTGAGCAAAACACGTGGTGATGTAGAACCAAAAAAATGTTTTTCCTCTTCTTCGAGCGTATTCACTCACAAGAAGAGGTCTTTTTAGAGAATCAATACTTCAAGGAAACATGGATTATTGATGATAACAAGCATATGAACATAAAGAATTTTGTTAACAAAAGAACATCACCCCAATTAACTGTTACACCTGATCAAGGAAGTCAAGATTTCGTTATTTCAATCAGATATGTTGAGGGCACAATCTTGTCTTCAGATTTAACAGTCAAAGACAAAGTTAAAGAAAATTATAAACTCACAGTTACTTATGAACCATTTACTTTCAATGGAGCTACATATAACATCATTGAGATCAATGAGATGGAAGCCCAGAAACATTATCTCCACAAGTACCTTAAGATAAAGTGCAGTGATGAGAATGTTGCTCTTAACTACATTGACACACAGCACATTATCATCAACAAGGATGTAGATTATCCAAAGTCATGGGGCACACCATGGCATATCCGTGATCCAGATGATTTCTTCCTTAGTATGGGTCAGCCATTGTACATCAACACATTCTTCACTGGTTCCCAATTCCCATGCGCACACACAAAGATTGAGAACACAACATATCTTGGCAGAGTTAGATACTATTCTGGCAAGAAATTTGCTGATCTCAAGAAGGACAGTGAGGGTTATTACAATACTTGGAAGACAGTCTTAGGTGCTGCTCGTGAGGACAGATTCGAAGTTGTTCGTGCTGATTTGTTCTCATATATCTTCGATATCTCAAGAAACACTCCATTCCGTAAGCAATTCAACTCATGGTATGATTGGATGCTTGCTATCACAGAAGATAACATCATGGAGTCATTCAAGGAAATCGAGAAGGGCAACACTCAGAATGGTATTGGACCACTCGATTCTTATGTTATCGATGATGGCTGGAATAACTACAACACTGAAAAGTACCAAGTCTATGATCCATCTGTCTCCGGAACAACATACAATACAGAAGGCTTCTGGACATTCAACAATAAGTTCCCACATAAATTCTCACCACCATCAGATTATTCCAGAAAGATTGGCTCTAACTTTGGTGTCTGGCTTGGTCCACGTGGTGGCTACGTTACAGCAGGACAATTTGGCAAAATGATCGAAGATGCAGGAAAGGGCTTCTATAATAAACGTACCGATGACATTGATGTTGCTTCTCACAAGTACATCAAGAACCTTAAGGATTTGCTTATCGGATTCATCAGAGATTACAAGGTCAACTATTACAAGTTGGATGGCTTCACAGATTATGAATGCACAAACACATCTCACGATCACATGACCGGTGGTGATGATAGCATGTACTTCTTCACAGACCTTTGGGAGAATTACATTGATGCTTACAAAGAAATGATCAAAGCTGCCGAAGATGAAGGCCTTACAAACTTCTGGATCTCAACAACAACATATGCCAGCAGCTCTCCATGGCATCTCCAGTGGTCTAGCTCTCTTTGGATGCAGATTTCTGGTGATTCTGATTACTGGATTGTTGGAAACAACACAAACTATGCTGACCAAGCTCTTACATACAGAGATTCCATGTACTACCAGTATTTCAATGACTACAAATTCCAGTTCCCAACAAGGAACATGTACAACCACGATCCAGTCTTTGGACAGGCAGGAACACATCTCAAGGGCAACTTGAATGATGAAGACTTCAGAGTCTTCCTTTCTGGCTGCATGATGAGAGGCACAGCATTCAACGAGTTGTACTACACATACTCAATGCTCGATGAAGGCGACAAGTGGTTAGTTTCCGGTGATATCCTTTCATGGGCTGAAAAGAACCACCACGTTCTCCAGCACTCACAGTACTTCGGTGGCAAGCCATATGATGGCGAATGCTACGGCTACTCTGCTTGGGATGGCGCTGATGGCTTCGTTTCCCTCCGTAACCCAGGTGGTAGTGTTACCAAATACACAATCACATTAGACAGAGCCATGGGTGTCCCAGAATCAGTCAAGGATGCTGTCAGATCAACAAGATTAGCTCACAAGACAACAGCTACTGAGGAAATCAAGAACGGCGTTAAGTTCAACTATGGAGAAACATTAACAGTCACATTGAACCCAGGTGAAATGAGAATTTACGAATTCCACCAGGCCGCCGATTCTGAAGCACCAAAGATTGAAGTTGTCAGATCTCTTAACGAGACAACAGTCAACCTCAGATTCAACAAGTACATTGATGTCTCCAATGCTCAGTTCTCCATCGATAACCTCAACATCAAGTCATACAAGGTCAGAGGTGATCTCAAGACAATCACATTCACAACAGATGCAATGAAGAACTACACAGAATACACAATTCACGTCAAGAATGTTTGCAACTCCTTCGGTGTTGCATTGAACACTGATGTCAAGTTCACATACTTCGCTCAGAACATCATGGGAACACTTTCTGGTTCATTCAAAGGAAACAACCAGAACGTCAATAACAAGCAAGTCGATCTTGACTCCTTCACAGTTAGAATCCACGTCAATGACTTCAAGAACGTTGCTAATGCTAAGCTCTTCCACTCTGCTGATAACACAATCAAGGCTGAAATTGTCAACAACTATGTCCAATTCACAGTTGGATCAACGACAGTTGTTTCATCTGACAAGATCTCACCAAGTATCCAGGATATCTACTTCGTTAGAGAAAGAAACGCAATGATCAAGATCTACATGAACTCCGATATCTCTGCTTCTGCTTGGGATAAGACAATGCCTTCTTGTGTTACAATTTGCAACATTATCATCGATGCAAGTGAAATTGTTTACAAGTTTATCAACATTTACAACTACGGTTTGGCTTACAGCGAACTTTCTGTTGCAATTTCAATTGGCAACGACAAGATCGAGAGACAATTCGAAATCAATAATGGAAAGCTCCACACATCAAAGATCGTCAACTCTATCACAGGCATGTCATTCGTACCAGCTGAAGGATCAAACAATTTCGTTATCACAACACCAGGCTACGTATTGGGCAAAGTTTTACCAATCGACAGATCCGATTGGAAGATCAAGGCCAACAGTGAAGAGTCAATCACTCCAAGAGATGAAGGTGCCGCTGTCAACTTAATTGATGGCGATATCACAACAATCTGGCACAGCAAGTATGATGATAAGGGCTTCCATGGCCATGATGACAGAAAGAACAATACTGATCCATATGTTATCACAATCGATATGGGCAAGGTCCAAAAGGTCGGCGCTTTATCATACACACCAAGACAAAGTGGCTGGAATGGTGCTATCAAGAAGTACGAATTGTACACAGCTAACACAGAAGAAGAGCTTAACGATAAGATTGCTGCTCGCCAGAATCCAGATGCTTCAGGCGAATTCAAGTACTACGCTCACTACCCATGCTACGCCAATCTCACAAAGGTTATTGAATGCAGATGGGTTGCCTTCCTTTCTATTCTTGTTAAGCCAGATTATGGTTCTGGTGCTGAATTCAATTTGTATCCAACAGCTGTTCCATTACCACTCCTTGAGATCAATGCTAACGACTTCAAGTATGCTAGCCATGAGATTATTACAGAAAACAACCACCAGAAGCTCATTTTCCACTACAAGCCATATAACTTCAATGGCGCTTTACTCAATGTCACAGTCATCTACGACCTTGAGAATGACAAGCCATACATGGAGAAGGAAGTTCTCATTTCTCTCCCACAAGGCTCAGATTTCACCTTCGATCACATTGACTTAGAGTCATTTGTCTTGACAGATGAACAAGTTCAGCAGTCATGGACACATCCAAACAAGGAGAAAGATACCCGTTCATGGCTTCCACAGTACCTCATCACATTAGGTCAACCAGTTTACATCTGTGATTTATACACAGGCTGCAGATTCCCACTCACAGACAACCGTATCGAAGAAAACATTGCTTACTTCAGATACAACACTGGTAAGAAGTTCGCCCAACTTGAAAAGGATGAAAACGGCACTTACCACTGCTGGAAGACAGTTATCGGTGCTGCAAGATCCAACTCGTTACAAGTCATCCGTAACGATTTCTTCTCATATATTGAGGATATCTCCGTCAAGACAACATTCCGCAAGCAGTACAACTCATGGTACGACTGGATGATGTCTATCAACGAATCCAACATCCTCGATTCATTCAAGGAAATCGAAAAGGGTATGACACAACTCGGTGTTCCACCATTAAACTCCTATGTTGTTGATGATGGCTGGAATAACTACAACTCCAAGAAGTATGATGTATATGATGAAGATGCATCAGGTACAACATACAACGAAGATGGCTTCTGGACATTCAACTCCAAATTCACACAAGGCTTCAAACTCCCATCTGACTTCGCCCACAGAATTGCTTCTGGATTCGGTATGTGGTTAGGTCCACGTGGTGGCTACAGTTATCCAGATACTATTGCCAAAATGATCCAGGACGCAGGCAAGGGCTATTACAACGAAAATGCTGGTGATATTGATGTCGGTTCTGGCGTTTATGTTGAGAACTTGAAGAAGTTCTTAGTCAACATGACAAACTTATACAAGATCAACTACTTCAAATTAGATGGCTTCGCCTTCACAGACAACAAGAACCCACAACATGATCACGTCACAGGAGGACCAAACGGTGCTTTCTACTACACAGACATGTGGGAGAAGTATGAGAAGTTGTTCGATGCTTTGAGAGAGAGTGCCAAGGTCAATGAAATCATTGACATGTGGATCTCAATCACATGCTATGTCAACTCATCTCCATTCCACTTACAGTGGGCTAACTCCGTCTACATCCAAGTCTCCAATGACCATGACTTCATTAATATTGGTGGCAACGACAACATGGCTGATCAGATGCTTACATTCAGAGATGCTTGCTACTACAACTTCTCTGACTACTTCGCATTCCAGTTCCCAACAAAGGCCATCTACAACCACGATCCTATCTACGGAAAGACAGGAACAGGCCTTGAGAACACAATGGATGATGAATACTTCAGACTCTTCTTACTCATGTGCGGCATGAGAGGCAATGCTTTCTACGAAATGTACTACTCATACACAATGCTCGACGAAGGAGAGAAGTGGTATGTTAACGCTGAAGCACTTAAGTACATCGAAGGAAGATACAACATCCTCCAGCACGCACAGAGATTCGGTGGTGATCCAAGATTAGGCTATGTTTATGGCTATTCCTCATGGAATGATGTCGAAGGCACAATCGCCATCAGAAATCCAAATGGAACAGTTCAGTCATACAAGCTTAAGTTAGACAGAGAAATCGGTGTTCCAGAAAACATCAAGTCTGTATTCACAAAGACAATCTTAGCTCACAGGACTACCGAAGCAATGGTAGAGAACAAAGAATACAAGTACGGCGACGAAATTGAGTTCACATTACAGCCAGGTGAAGCAAGAATCATTGATTTGAATGCTGCTAAGGACGACAAGGCTCCAGAAGTCGAAATCGTCAAATACATTTCCCAGAACAAGACAATGATCAGATTCAATGAGAAGATTATCTTCAACAAGGATAACTTCAAGCTCAAGAGCAGAGACATTGTCAATGTTTCAATCAAGGCTGACTTCAGAACAGTCATCATTGAAGTTGAACCACCATTCGGAAACAACACTGACTATGAGTTCATTTTCGATGGAGTTTCTGATATCGCTGGAAACAAGCTCAATGGACAATACACTCAGATGTACCGTGCTTGCAACAAGTTAGTCAACATCTCCAATGCTGTCGAAGGAGATGATAACAAGATCATGAACGACGAGTTCACATTAGATTCATTCTCCATCAAGCTTAACATCAACACTCTTGGTAACTACAATGGCTTGTTACTCGAAGACAAGGACAACAAGATCATTGTCGAAACAGAATCAAACAAGTTCATCAAGTTTGTTGTTGGAAACTTATCAGTTGTTTCATCCCACGAAATCACTGATAACACTAATGTTACATTAGTTCGTGAGCGCAACACAATGTTGAAGATTTACGTCAACGGAACAATCTCCAACTCTTCATTCAGATCTGGTGAGAAGGATGTCGTCAAGATGAAGAAGATCAAACTCGCTAAGAACAGTGTTAAGTACAACTCAATCGTTGTTGTCAACACAGCTCTTAACTATAAGGAAACAAACATCGACCTTCCAAATGATTATGAAAAGCAGAACGATGAGGACAACAACAGAAGAATGAAGATCATCATCGGCGCAGCTGTTGGTGGTGGCGTTCTTATTCTTTTAATCATTATCATTGGTGTCGTTATTGGAGTCAACAAATCAAGAAAGGCTAAGCTCGACTCAATGCCACTTATTACACAGAATTAAATTTCAAAGTTACTTTTAACTTTCTTACATAGTTTAAATAAAAATTTAACTTTTAATTTACTCTTTATTTTATATTTTTCTTTGAGAATTCTAAATATAATCAATACTTGAAAATCTTTATGTCAAATATATATTAAAAAAATTATTCCGATACGGGGAGTCGAACCCCGATCCTGTGGATGAAAACCACATATCCTAACCGCTGAACGATATCGGATTCACATTTATTTAATTTTGATATGATTAATAATATATAATACTCTATTTTCGGAGAATGTATGGCCAAATAAAACTTATCGTTCCTAAAATGATGATTTCCTATCAGTTCATTTGGCGGAGGTTTTTGTGATATGGAAAAATGTTCGTTGCTCAATTATCTCACTATTGGATGGACTTTTATCGAGCGAAATTTTGGCTGTAAAGACAATTCTGATATTGGTAACATGGTGATAAGAACAAATAGTCAGTTTGCATGGTTTATGATGAGATAATTTCGATTTAAAAAAAAACATAAAAATTGATTTTAATGAGCGATTAAGGTCAGGTATGAGGGGCTTCCAGGGGCTGCGCCCCTTCTAGCCCTAAGAAATTTTGCCCAAGACCCAAGAGGAGGACCGAACCCCAGCCGACCAGCCGGTGACAAAACCAAAACCGTTGTTATTTACATCATATTAATGATGTCACTTTTAAAAATGTCACTTTTTGTTTCACTTTTCACAAATTATATATGTTTTCATGCTTTGTCACTTTTCTGTCACTTTTCAGGTAAAAACATTTTTATTATTATATATAAATGAATTTTACAAAACCACCGTTACCGTTCTTTGGAAATAAGAGTAGATGTAAAGATATTATATTGAGAGAACTTAAGAAACTACCGAATGGTCTAACATTTGTAGATTTGTTCGGTGGAAGTTTCTATATATCCCATTTATGTCATACCGTATTTCCTGACTCAAAGATTATATGCAATGACTTCGACAACTATATGGACCGTCTCAAACATATTCCAGACACAAACAATATATTGAAAGAGTTAAAAGAAAAGATACCTATAGGTAAGATGGAACGTATACCATTAGATAAGAAAAATATTGTGAGAGAGGTTTTGAAAAAAGCAGAATATATAGACTGGGATAGTATATCTGCTAGACTATTATATAGTGTGCTATAAGAGTTCATGACATTGAAACACTTATGTCAAAAGTTTTATATCTTAACTATACAAATGTTTTCAAAGAGGACATAGAAAAATATATTGAGGGTATAGAGTTTGTGAGATGTCATTGGACAGAGTTGTATGAAAAATATAAAGACAAGGAAAATGTTTTCTTTATAGTGGACCCACCGTTCTTTAACACATGGGATTTTCAATACCAAGTAGACTGGACTTTGAGAGACTCTTTAGAAACTTTAGACGTTATACATAACCATCCATGCTTTTACTTTACATCCGATAAAAGTGGTTTGGAAACCGTTATGAGATGGTTAGAGGACATACATGACTATGAGTTTAGATATGACAAGATAGAATATGAGAGAGGTCCTATAAACTGAGAAAGTGTCATAACAAAGAAATTTTATTAGTAAGTAAATGTGGTTTGAAATAGGACTACTTGTTTTAGGTTTTTTCCATGTGTCATTTATTTATTTGACGTGGCAGAAAAGTACAGAGAATATGAAGATGAACCAATGCCTGCAAATGTTCAGTATATGTACTCGTAAGAGATATTTTTATCTAATATTAAATGACGCACAGAACTTAGCGAATGCACAGCAACCTGGACAACCAAACCCAGAGAATATTCCAAATGAAGTTAGAATACAAACTGCAATGGCAAACTATGGTCAAGTGCCAACAGATGTACAAATGCAAACTGCCATGTCAAATGACGCTGCGTTAGGTTTGCCACCATGGTATGCAAATATGAGATGGAAAGAGTTTTATACAAACCCTGAAGTGGGATATAAACAACTTTATGCAGATGACGCGAACACAGGAGTTGACCCAGAATATGTTTTCTACCAGAGGAGAAACAGAATGTATGAGCTCCAGTTAAAGAATGCTATGGAACTCAGAAGGAAACGTAAGAGACTAGGCGGACATTAGATTTTTACATATAGTAAAATGGGTTTCTTTGGAAGAATAGGAAACTTCTTTCGAAATGTTGGAAGAGGTATATGGAATGGAATAAAATCTGTCGGAAGAGGAATTTGGAACGGAGTCAAAAATATTGGTAAAAGAGTAGGTCAGTTCGTTGGTATTATACCTAAAGACCCTGAACCAGAAGAACAAGCTCCTGTTATACAACAGCCTGAACCTGCACCACAGTCTAGTTGGCAACCAAATCCCAACACCCTCAACCGTATTAAAAAATTATATTTTTACCGTTCGATAGTAGTTGTATATGAAACTAAGTTCTAAGTAAAACGCATGGTATAATGGAATTATTCTTTTTCTTTTTTTCCATCTGTAGTAAACCATACTTGAAAGTCTGAAATACTTCCACTTGGTGGTTCGTATAACTTTGTAGGTTTTTCGTAAAAGTCATTTGCCAAGCATAAGAAAGAGTTTTGGGCGCCAGAAAATGAAGCATGAACAATAATAGCATCTTGGTCGAAATATTTTCATATGTTCCATTAGGGTTTTCGACTTCATAATAGTCCGGGTGTACTGGATATGCTGCAGGCTGATTTAACATCCTCATAAATCTATACCATGCCAAGTTGTTATATTTTGTAGAAATATAAACGTTTTCTCCAAGGTCTTCTATTTTATTGATTTTAACAGTTGCATTTTTCCTGTCATAAATAATATCGAGATGGTATTCTCCTTCGTCAATGTTATACTGGTTTGCATATTCGATATAGATATCGTTTATTTTTTCTTGAAAAGCTTGAAGAGTTGTTTCTAAGTTTACAAGCAAACTAACTTGTAAAAGTTTTCCCTGTTCAAATTTCTCATACATACGTTTTTTTGTTATAGTATCGAACTTCAAAACCGACCGTAAATGGGAAACCATGTATGGCTTCTGAAATGAACTTCATTCTACGAAAGCCAATAGCTTTTGTGACGGATGGGTCTCTTAACCATCTTAATGGGTAGTCAAAACGATAGCCTTCATGCTTTACGGTATCTGTCTCAAACTTTTGACCGACATTAGTAAAAAGTTCATCTAATGGTTTAGTTGTAGCAACTCTTGAATTTTCTTTTTCTATTGAAAGCATATTTATTATCTAAATAAAAATGTCAAATGAAACAGCGTCTATGAGAGAAATACAACACAACCGACAACTCATTATGCAAGCTCTAAATAAGAACACAACAAACTTTTCAAACTATTCTAAGATATCTGAGTCATTGAAAGAAGGAAACTTAAAACTGACATTAAACCCAATGACAGATGAGTTTCTGTTTCAAGACAATAAGAACAATACTGTCTGCATAAATCCAACAAAAGGAACTTTAAACGAGAAACCTATAAATGAACTTCTTTTGAAAGCAGATGTTGACAACAAAGCTGACAAAGAATATGTAGACGATGCAATAGCAAAAGAAGAAGAAAGAGCTAACAATGCTTATGCAACAAAGAACATACTCATCCTGAACTAGCAGACAAAACATATGTTGACAATAAAATGTCAAGTGAAGTGACAAGAGCTGAAAACGAATATTCTAAAAAGACTCATATACATTATATTAACCAAATACCAAGTCTTAAGGAAACATTAGAGACAAAAGCAGATAAGACTCATACACATTCTATATCTGATATCACAAACTTACAAGAAACATTAGAGACAAAAGCAAATAAGACTCATACACATACCATTGCAAATATTACAAACTTACAAGAAACCTTAAACAGGAAAAGTGACGTTGGACATACACATACATCTTCTGAAATAACAGACTTAAACGTTAGCCTTGAAAATAAAGCAGATAAAACATATGTCAATGAAATATACCAAAGTTTGATAGGAACAAAAAATATTGAAACTATTGTTGGTGACTTTTCTGTCAATGAAGAAAATAAATATTTTAGATGGCAGTTTGTACACTCCTTAAAAAATGGTACACAGTGTAAACTCATTCCGAAAAATAACAATGAAATGTATGTAAGCTATATAAAGAATAATGGTACACAAGTTAAAGTTCCATTAGACAACAACTGCTACTTAAACTTATATGGAGACGAACAAAAGAAATATTTCCGAGTTTATGAAATGGCAGATATGACATTGCCTGACCCATCTCCAGCACCATATTATTATGACTATGGTGCTGACGACAAAACACCACATGTAGATGAACAAAAGCAAACATTATATTTAGAATATTATAGATATAAAAGATATAATGCAATAGAAAAAACGAGAATAGTATACTATTATGAAGATGACAGAAATAAATATTATAGTCAAGATTGTACATACCCTGAAAACATAAGATTATATTATAAAAAATATTCTGACACAAACCAGAAGAAACCAGAAATAGTTGCACTATATTTTAAGTTCAAAAGAGACAATCCTATAATATCTCATATGTTTGATTTAATGAACCCAGTAGGTTCTATTTATACATCTATGGATGCAAGAGGTCCTCAAGTAATGTTTGGTGTTGGTGCATGGGAACAAATAGTCGACAGGTTTTTGTATTGTGCAAACTCTTCAAAGGAAACAGGTGGAAGTAAAACGATTTCAGGTGAAAATTTACCTGCACACAGTCACTACATAGATTTAAGTACATCTCAAGCAGGTTGGCATAAGCATAGATATTGGGATTGGTCAGCAATGACAAAAGGTAAAGGATATGATGTTAAAGACAACGTTAAGTTTGCTATAAATTGTTACTGGAGTAACACTGAGGGAGGAGGAAACCATACACATTTCGTTTCAGGATATACGCAAACAACGGGACAAAGTAAAGAATACATGCCACCTTACATGACAGTTTACGCATGGTATAGAATTGCTTAGTCGTCATTTTCAACTTC